AAAAGATTAACCAATGGTCTAAAGAATGGCTGGTTTCGTTTAATCCAGCAAAGACCATATGTATGACTATATCTCGGAAAGCTATCAAAACACAACATCCTCCCTACTTCTGCAAAACCAAGTCATTTCTGAAGCTTCTTCTCACAAACATTTAGGAGTTGTTCTATCAAACGATTGTTCATGGTCAAATCATCTAGAATATATTAAAAACAAAGCTTGGACAAGGATCAATATTCTCCGTAGTCTAAAATTTACACTCGACAGAAATACATTAGAAACATTATATTTGACATTTATCCGTCCATTATTAGAGTATGGAGATATACTTTTTGATAATTGTTCAGCTAGCGAAAAGCATGAATTAGATATGATTCAAAACGAGGCTGCCAGAATAGTCACAGGTGCTACTAAACTTTGTTCTCTTGAAAAACTTTATGACGACCTAGGATGGGAATCATTATCAACTCGACGTAGTAATCACAAACTGGTCTTTATTTACAAAATTCGAAATAGTTTATGTCCCACTTACTTAAACACTCTAATCCCAACACGTCAAAACGAAAGATACACCTTCAGAAACTCCTCTGATATTCCTCCTATCTATTGTCGAACATCCTTTTATCAAAACTCTCTCATCCCGTCTAGCATCCGTTCCTGGAACACGCTCCCTCAGAATACAAAATCATCAGAATCTTTACAACAATTCAAGCGACTTCTTTCAAACCCACACAAACCTCCTAATTATTTTAACACAGGGCCTCGCAAACTTCAAATCCTGCATACTCGCTTAAGACTTGGCTGTAGTTCCTTAAATGATGATCTTTTCCGAAAAAATATTTCCGAATCAAACACATGCGCCTGCGGTCAAACAGAATCAGTGTGTCATTTTCTTCTAAACTGTCCTTTGTATCAACATATGCGAGATATTCTCTATAGGAACATCATACAACTGGATAGATCCCTGATCATAACTCACACTCTGCTATTGCATGGTTCAAATTCCCTTTCAAACAACCAAAACGTAGAGCTTTTCAAGTATGTATACCTTTATATTGATTCTACGAAACGATTTATATAATGTCTGACTGCTACTACTATGCTGCTTATATTCTTTTCTTGTCCTTATCTTTATTTGTTTAATGTCCTTTTTGTGTTTTTTTTTCTTTAGTTGTTTTCTGTAGTTTTTTACTTAATTTTTGTCAAAACTTACTAAAATCTTGTCCTTACCATTAACATTTCATTTTTCTTTTTCAATCTTGCATTATCAAATGTGTTGTTTTTTTTTGGTAACTTGTTAATTACAACCACCACAGACATTGAAGATTGTTATTGTTAGATAATGGCTTCTATAAGCTTCTGCTTTCGGCCAAAATCTATAATTATTGTTATGTTGTTATTTACACATGTACAAATATTCTAAATAAAATATGTTTAAACCAAGTAATTTTCTGAAAACTTTTGTTTAAGTTTTCAGGCAATTCATTATCAAATAAAAATCACACTTTAGTATGAAGGTATGTTAAGATGTCATGTCTCTAGTCTGTTGAAAATTCGATACGATAATCTGACATTTTCTGTTCAATATTGTGAAAACTTAATAATTCTTCAATACTGTTGAAAGATCATGTCTGCCTATTTCTGTATCAAATTTATCGGTGCATAGCGTAAAATACCTTTGCAAAACGGACACCTTTTTTACAAAATAATTTTTAGTTGTATCATATGTAACTCGATTTTGAAAAGTTTTTTTGATGGAGAAGAATGATACTCAAGTGCAAGTATAGAAAATACATTCCGTAGACATTTCCTCATCGGCGATAAAGAAACGCAGGGGTAAAGTTCCGCGGCGCTGAACATAACATGACTAAACGGAACGCATAACCTACTTGCAAAAATATATTGTAGCTTAACCATTTATAATATTATTTAAAAAATTTAATGTTCAGTTTCAAATAATAAAGCTCATCTGTCCTCGTCGATTATTAAGAAAATGAATACAATAAAATTGGCACGTAAAAAGACACAAGTAATAACGGAATTGACGGAAATTATTGCTCATTACAAGGTAGGCATGCAATTTGCGCATTCCCGATAGCGTGAGACCTTTTCAAAATTTGTAATTTTTTCTCTCTTTTTTTTTTAAGAAAAAAGTCATTCCTGATTAATACAGGGTCCAGTGGAGGTTACACTGGAATATTGAATTTGTATCAAAATAGTAATCAATTCCATTTCGAACTCACGTGAACAAGTTTATTAGCATGCTAAGGCAACAGTAGAAACGTTGTCATATGGGTGTGCGATCACTGTTTCAATGTATATGCATTTGATACAGCTTTTCGAATTTGTAGATGATTATGATTAGTACTAAAATGCGACCGAAAAAATGCAGCCTTAATAAATTGTATTACATTTCCATTTTTATGAAACCAATGAGTGACCTCTGCTTTTGACTTAAGTTGTAAACAAGAAATGTTGTAGGACGTTATTGGCATACCTAGCACATAATTTAAATAGTTTAACCAATATTCAGCCTGCAATGAAAATACAACTGCGTCGTATCATATTTTATTTTCAACTGCGTCGTATCATTTCATAAAAATCATTATTTCTTGGAAAATAAACATCTCTTTTAAATAAAAGTTTAGTAAATGATGCAAAATTATGTTTTGACGTTTATGGTGAACTCTGAAAACGAGTATATAATTGATTTGAAGGAAAAACGATAGATAAAGCAATATGAACTGCGTCGTATCCACACATTTTCATAAAAATTCTGCCCCGCTTCGAGTTGCAAGTTCGCTATAACTTTTGTTTTACAAAATAGTTGTGCAAGCAACATATACCGAACGAAGCGGAAAATAGTGTAGCGTGTTAATACATATATCTTGTTTTCAGTCATTTCCAACAAAATTTAAAGAGTTATAAACAAAAACATACATTTTTCGCTCCAGGATGGCGGCGTTTGTTTACATTTTGTAGGATACGACGCAGTTTTGATTCCCAGCCCTGAATTATTGTATAATAATTATGCTCAACATGATCAACATGGTAATATAACCAGTGTCATGTTGTTACTAAGTGTGAACAGATACCTTAAGAGGGGATCTTCGCTAATAGCGATAACATAATATGGGACAATTACACAACTGTGGTGTTGATCATGCGTTACACATATGGATTATAAATGAATGTATACATGTATATCCGTTGCTATTAATAACCACGATTATAAAGAAATAACAAGTAAAATTCTAATCGCTAGCATATTAATCAAAGCTAATAATGAGCAATGTCTTTCGTCCGTTCATTCATAAGTGATATACAATTCTGGTAAAAACCAATTAACCACTGAAAAGTTTATAAGAATATCTTGTCATCATATATCTACTAGTTCATCTTCACCTGCTGCATTTCTTGCTTGGACGCCCTTTGATGCTTTGCATCAATGCTTTTCTTGTGGTATGTTAAAATAGAATGATGAGTTGATGACCTAAACATTCCGAAAATCTATTTATAGGGGGATGTACTGCTATCGGTAATTCCCGGTCTCTCCCCGGGATTTACTAGTGACCGGCGAATAGTATCAAACGTATTTATTGTCCGGTCTCTCCCGGTTTTGGAGTAGATGTTTGATATCGTTACAGAACAGAACAAATATTTTACAGATAAAAATTTTTTTTTCTAAAATGAATGTTTGTCACTTAGTTTGGTTACAATAATTTATAAACATAGATCAACTCTCAAATTTATTGATTATTATTATACATAAACATACATTTCGAAAAAAAAAACGTACAACAACAACAATAGCATGTTTAATTTTATCTACCATGCAATAAATATGTACAATAATTCAGAAAAAAAGGTACATTTTTATGGTATTAATATGACGCTATCAACTTTGAAACATTTTATTTAATTTGTTATTCGTGTTTAGTAAAGATGCCGAGGAATTATTCAAAGTTACAAATTAGATTTTATGAATTATTTAATTGATTGATAATTTAAAAAATGATAAAGAAAAATACAAATGTACATGTACATGGTTTAAGAATAAACAATATTATATATTGAAAGATTAACCATAATTTACTGACTTTTTCCAGTTAAGTTTTGACTTATAATCGTCGGTTAATATACGTACCTGGTCAATATGACAATTGAATTCTTAAAATTTATTTTACAATTTTAATAAAAAAAAAAGAGTAGTAAACGTAAAAAAACTCAGTATTAAAATAGCACATAAAACACAAAAAAGAGAGGAAAACAATATTAATAAAATCTGTATTTTTTTATATTAAAATAGATATTTATACAATTATTGTATAATAAACAATTATGCTCAACATGATCAACATGTTAATATAATTAGTGTCATATTTTTACTAAGTGTGAACAGATACCTTAAGAGGGGGTCTTCGCTTATAGCGATAACATAATAAGGGACAATTACACAAGTGTGGTGTTGATCATCATGCGTTACACATATGATTGTATACATGTATATCCGTTGCTATTAATAATCACGATCATAAAGAAATAACAAGTAATATTCTAATCTCTAGCATGCCAATCAAAGTTCATATACAATGAACAATGTCTTTCGTCCGTTCATTCTGGTAAAAACCAATTAACCATTGAAAAGTTTATAAGAATATCTTGTCATCATATGTCTAGACTAGTTCATCTTCACTTCTGCATTTCTTGCTTGGACGCCCTTTGATGCTTTGCATCAATGCTTTTCTTGTGTATTCTTGGAACCAAACTCCTAATCTGGTTCCCTGTCCAAGACAAAGGGGTACGGCTCATTGAATGTTCACAAAAAATGTATTTGATTGTAGAAAATATTTATCCTAAGTCAGAAATGAATTCCAAGTCCATTCCATATACTAAAATATCTTGGATGTAAACCATAATAGGACAGGGAACCAGATTAAGCGACGGCTCCTCACAGTGATTACCTCCCTTGGCAGAATTCTCTGTACTGATAAGGGGAGATCACTCGAAACAACAACTACTGACAGAATTTTTCTCCAAAAATCGTTGTGAAACTGTGTCAAATTATAGGTAAAAACAGCAATATTGATGGTAATTTTCAAAATTCTCAGTTTTTACACCAAAGTTTATTGTATTAATATTTACTGTATCTCTTGAAGTATTGAAAACTTGTGTAAGTTGCATACGTTCCGTCTATATTTGATATTTCGGATAAGTATGTAGAAATGATCGTTTTACACGTTTTCATTCATTCTCATGTATTCGGGGGTGGAACCACATATAAATCACAAAATTTAGCATCGGTAAAAAAGTATATATAGTCTTATAGAACTATCGAGATTGATTATAAAGTGATTGACAATACAAACAATCAACTTACCTTCCACGTCTGGATCATAGCTAAGCTAGAAATTGCGTAATTCTTCTAAGTTACCTTCTACACTTATATGGCGCCCAACTGTCAGACCTAACACACTAGTTCCGGTTGGCTAGGAACATTCCTTTAACTTCCGTTAATTCCTGTAACCAGTACCATATGGTTCTACATATTTGTGAATTTCCACTGCTCAATATGTGCAGAATAACTCAATAAGTGAAGTAGAAAAAAAGATAAAAGACATTTAGTATACTAAAAGCATTGATGTTTGGAAGTCAGTGAAATGTACACATATGGGAGCTTCTATATTGTCACTTATGCCAATAACGGTTAAAATGAGGTTTGAGGGAGTAAAAACGCCTTAATTGTCATTTGTTTCATTAAAATTATTTCAAATTAGTCCAACCCTTACAACAATTCACATTTTTGCCTCAATTATCATCAAACTTGGTCAGGATGCTTGTCTAGGTAGTTGCTTGGATGAGTTCGAACATGGGTCATCTTGGATGGAAAACAAGGTCACAGGAGCTAAAAAAAGAAAAATCTTGTTAACACTCTAGTGGCTACAGTTTTGATCCAAATATCCTGGACATTGTTCTGCAAGTTTGTTTTTTTGATTTCTAGTGAATATGGGTCACCTGGGGTCAAAAACTAGGTCACACTGCCCAGATATGGATAAACCTTGTTAACACTCTAGTGGTCACATTCTTTACTCAATTGTCATCAAACTTGGTCAGGATGCTTGTCTAGGTAATTGCTCCACAGTATATAAACGATTTGAACCCCAACCGGATCTTGTGAGAAGATCTCAACATCAGTTCCGTACAAACAGGCGGGGTGACCCATAAAACTTTTTAAGACGGCTTGCATTTAATCTGTGACGGTATGAAAACATTTGGATCATATTAAGAAATATTTTTTCTTTGCTTATAGATACATCCATAACCAGCTTCTTTAAATTTATGCGCATAAAACGCTGTGCTCCTCGCTTCGTGTTTTGTTTATGTCAACACACGCCTATTACACAAGCAAATTTATGCCTAAATTTGTTTTATTTCACTATAACTCATATCTCAATCTAAACTTTATTGTCTTACCTCGTGTTACCGCACAGGCACTTGTGTAGATATCTTTTAATATTGATAAAAACATAGTAAATAATAGAGGCGAACATTCTGAGAACTGTACCCGTCTTGCTAAAATAATTTTAATGATCTGTACCCTACTTGTGTTTTGACTGAACCATAACTTGCGAGTCACTTTTGATGATTTTTATTGTTTTTGTCATATGTTCCAAATTATATCTTGCAGAATATGAAGTTATTGTGTCACAAGAGCATGACACATCTTTTAGTTTCTATATAAGTAACCAATACTGCACCTTCATCATGTTTTCACTTTCCATGGAAATACCAGCATGAAGTAATTAGGAAGAAAACTATTTCTTGACAGTTATTATTAACCAACAAATCTTATCTTCATTTACCATTCATTTTTCTTTGGAAATATATAAAGCTAAGATATAACATAAGTACTATAAACGTTTCTACTATTAAGTTCAACGGCACTGTTGATGTTTTTGACGTGACCGTTGTATAACGTCACATATCAATCCATCCTCCTCGAAAGATCATCACAGGATTTTTGGCAGATTACTTACTGGTATTTCAACATGTTGATTTCAATATGCTTTTTGAAACACGATTTATATTCTCATAAATGCCTTGACTTTCTTTTTTCTGACATGCACGACTACACTCTTAATAAATCATTTTAAGGAGTTTCCTGCATATTGTTGTGAAATGTCTAAAAGGTAGTTTTCACTCTTGCAAGTTTATTTCCACTTATTTTTAAATAGTTTCGAGTCTTGCCAGTGTCTAAGATATGTGGGATCTGTGGAATAAGTTGACACCAAGTTTAAACTTAAACTCTACGTCATCTGTACTAAAAAACGTATCTTTTGTCGATGTGTGAACATCTTTAACTGGCGTTTTTGATTTTTTGACATTTCTTGATTGGAGATTATTTTTCAAGTCCTTCTTGTCTTGAAATTTTTTACTGGTTTTGCAATATCATTTGCTTTTAAAGTCCTTTTTAAACTTTTTTCAGTTTGGAATAATTCTAAAGTCTTTTGAGTATGATTTTAATGTTTCTGTTATTGTTGTCAAGCTGAGAAAATGTTATTTTAAGCCTTTGTTCTGATGTCCAAATTATGAACAATAGTGGTTCCGAATTTTTTTTGAAGAGAAAGGGTGCAATGAAGACAACTAAATTCTTTCATTTTGCCTGTCAATAAACAAATAAATGCGTTAAATAATTAACGTTCTCTCCATTTAATCTTAAAAAATACTCACAAGTCAGGGTACAGATAAAATTCGTAAACTCACAAGTAGGGTTCACAATCACCAGCAAGTAACGTTCAGTTTACGGAATTGACCTCCTTGGTTAAATTCTTAATTTAATGTTCAAAATACAGCAATATCTTTTGCAGATGACTAAATTATCGTTTGTTATTGATTATTTTAGTAGTTCGATATCACAATTTAATGTTTAACTAAATAGACCTTGAAATAAGACGGATTTTTGCTAGTGTTCAGTGTTGATCACCTGAAAGCAGTTCGTGAGTTTCGATTATTTTATAACTTTAATGCTAACATTTATATTTTGCATAACTAAAACGCTTAATAAAGTTTCTCTTCTACGATATAAATAAAGATTTACTAACCTAACGTCCATAAGTTTCAATATAAATACCAATGTATTAAACAAGCTAGGCGTCAGAAAATGGCTGACACTGACATCGTCTCACAAGATCCGGTTGGGGTTCAAATCGTTTATATACTGTGTGCTCGGATGAGTTCGAACATGGGTGATCTCGAATGATAAACTAGGTTACAGGAGCTAAAAGTAAAAATAATCTTTTTAACACAGGGGTGGTAAAATTTTCTTAAATCAACATTTGGAACTTATTTGCAAGGTTAGATATTAGTGAATTTGTAGGTACAGTTCCGTTAAATTTTTGACATTTATTTTCACAAAAATCTTCTTACATCATCAAGTAGCCCATATATATATTTTTATTTTCAGATTTGTAAAGTTCATAAAGTCTAACAGATCATACCTTAAATTATCATATGTCAAAAGATTTCCTGAAAGAGTCAGAATGATTCCTGTTTTAAAGCAATTATGTCCGCAGCTGGTAAGATACAGCAGGAGTTTGGGAACCAGGAAACATATTACAACAACATCCAGGTTATATATAAACAGTATTTCATAGACGGAATTATTGTGACTGTCAAAAACCTTTTGCTCACTGCTAAATCACATATATTTTTAGCTCACCTGAGCACAAAGTGCTCAAGGTGAGCTTTTGTGATCACAATTTGTCTGGCGTCCATCATCAACTTTTTATACAAACAACTTCTTCACAGAAACCACGGGGCCAAATGTGATGAAATTTTCCTGGGATGTTCCTAGCATGAAGCTCTACTAAAATTGTTCAAATGGTTTTGCTGAATTGAGCATCTGGATCAGGAGGGATTAAAATAGATTTCTGAAATGAAATCTTTAAAAATCATCTTCTCTGGAGGTGCAAAGCTTAGATATTTTGTTTGTGGCATCATGTAATGAAACTCTACAAAATTATACAAATTATAGCCCTAGCATCAAAATTGGCCTCGCCCCTGGGGGTCATTGATTTTTTTTCTTTTATACATATAGTAGAAACTTAAAAAATCTTCTTGTAAAAAATCGAAAGAGCTAGCGCTTAGATGTTTGGCATGAAACATCTTCTAGTTGATGTCTACCAAGTTTCTTCAAATAAAAGCCCTAGGGTCAAAATTGGCCCCCGCCTCAGGGGGTCATTGATTTACCTAATATGTATATAGTAAAACTTAAAAACTCTTGTTGTGAAAATACAAAATCACGAGAGCTTTGATATTTGGCATGAAATATCTTCTAGTGGATGTCAAAAGACCTAGTGTAAAATTGACCCCACCCCAGGGGTTATTGATTTTTGTTATTTGTATATGCATTCCATTCTGGGGTATTACCTCCCTTTAATAAGATTTAAATTAAGTTTTGCATTCATAACAAGAAAATGAATAAGATATTTTGCTCACCAGAACCAAAGTTTCAGGGTGAGCTATTAGTATCAAAGGGGGATGCTCCTTCCATTGTCTGTCAGTCTGTCGTCCATCGTCATGCGTCAACAATTGTTTCTTCTCTGAAACTGCTGGGCAGATTTACTTCAAATTTGGTCTGTAGCATCCTTGTGACAGTCACACTTAAATTTGCTCATGTCATTTCAATTGTCCCCTTTTAGGGGTCAACAGAGCTAAAAATAGAAAAACCTTTAAACATCTTCTTCTACAGAACTAATTGATGGATGATCACCAAACTTTGTCTGTAGCATTCTTGGGTAGTCTTTTATCAAGTTTGCTCATATCAATTTGATTGGCCCCTTTTAGGGGCCACTAAAGCTAAAAATAGAAAATCCTTTAAACGTCTATTTCTACAGAACTAATTGATGGATGATCACCAAACTTTGTCTGTAGCATTCTTGGGTAGTCTTTTATCAAGTTTGCTCATATTAATTTGATTGGCCCCTTTTAGGGGCGCTTAAGCAAAAAATAAAAAATAAACCCTTTGAACATGACATTTCCTACAGAAATAATTGATGGATGATCACCAAACTTTGTCTGTAGCATTCTTGGGTAGTCTTTTCTCAAGTTTGCTCATATTAATTTGATTTGCCCCTTTTAAGGACTGCTAAAGCTAAAAGTAGAAATACCTTTAAACATCTCCTTTTACAGAACTAATTGATGGATGATCACGAAATTTTGTCTGTAGCATTCTTGGGTAGTCTTTTTCTATCAAGTTTGCTCATATTAATTTGATTGGCCCCTTTTAGGGGCCGCTCATATTAATTTGATTGGCCCCTTTTAGGGGCCGCTTAAGCTGTAAATAAAAAATAAACCCTTTGGCACATTTAAGGCCTTAGCTAAATATAGAATTACCTTTAAACTTCTCCTTCTACAGAACTAATTTATAGATGATCACCTTATTTGTCTGTAGCATTCTTAGGTATTCTTATATCAAGTTTGCTCATATTAAAACCTTTGAACATCATTTCCTACTGAAATAATTGATAGATGATCACCAAATTTTGTTTTAGCAATCTAGGTAGTCTTTTATCAAGTTTGCTCATATTAATTTGATTGGCCCCTTTTAGGAGCCACTAAAGCTAAAAATAGAAAAACCTTTGAACATCATCTCCTACTGAAATAATTGATGGATGGTCACCAAACTTTTTCTGTAGAATTCTTACTAATCTTAGGTAGTCTTTTATCAAGTTTGCTCATATTAATATGAATTTAAATGCCCCAGGTCATGGCATTTCTTCAAATTATTGTTTCAAGATATTCTATGCTCAAATTTACTATTAGAAAATATTGACAATGGATAATTTCTTAACACTGAAAAGCAGTTGTTTCTGGGTGAGCTACTCAGGGCCATCATTGCCCTCTTGTTTTAAATATTTTTTTTTTAATTTATGGTTATTTTAGATATGAAGAAAATATTTATATAATAAAAAATAAATTTACTAATCTTCCTTAAACTGCAGTATATATAGCAAGAGTTGAATGGATATTAAAGTCAGCCTGCATAGCTCAATCGGTTAGAGGGCAAAACTTGAAATCTCAACAATCTCAACATTCCCAGGCTGGCCAACTAAAATTACATATCAGTATTTCGGATGAGGCTTTAAATCTAGGTCCTGTATATGAGTGCTTAAACACTTAGCACGTTAAAGAACCAAGAGAAGCTTCTGGAATTGGGACATCTTTCTGTATCTTGCACTATCCTCCAAAATCTAAAATGACTAATACTCTTCTGGAGGACTCGACCATATATATTGGCAACCGGTGGCGAGTATAAGTAAACTCAAATACACACAAAGTATTGGATATTACACACTGTATATACAAGCATATGGGTGCTGTAGTAAATAATATAATTTACTATAGTATAGTACATACTGGAATACACAGCTTGACTACAATATTTGCTGAAAAGCCCAAGCCATCTGTATGTTGTAATTAACCTATTGTAATGACATTTGTCAATTTCTGTAAATGCAATTTAAGCTGCAGTCATGTCCTATGTTACGACCCTGTAAGACAACTATTTGTATGGTTTTATATCATACTCATATGACCTCTACAATTTTTTTTTCAAGTTATGACCCTCAGGTCAAAATTGGCCCTGCCCTGGGAAACATTGATTTTCCTTTTATGTAAATGGTAAAAATTTAGATCTACAGAAGCTAAAGCTTAGTTTTCATAGCATCCAGTGACATAAAAGCAGCTATTTACTTTATAGAAGTGTAAAATTTCATAGCAGGCACTGATTTCCAAGGGCAGCAACCTGTGACTTCTTATGGAACTGCTGTTTTCCCTTAGCAAATGCAACCAGTAATGTTTATACATGTGCTCTATTTCAGATACAAATATGAACTCATATGTGATATCAGTTTAAAGTGTAATGCAAATTTTTTTATGGTTAATTATGGTAAATATGATGCTCAAAAGAAGATTTATCAATATTATAAATTTCAATAAACATTATTTGTAAAGATTTTACAGACTTTAACATTTCATGTAAACAAGGGAGGTAATTCGAAATTGTTTTTGATACAGTCTAAGCCAATTTTTACAATAAAAACTGAATGCATTAACTACAAGGTTTAATTATGTATAATTAAACATTTGCACTACATAATATTTAACTCATTCTTGGATTTTTGTGCCCCCACGTTAGTGGCGGGCATTTAGATTTACCCTTGTCCGTCCGTCCCTTCAGTCCGTCCTTCCGTCTGTGCGTCCGTCCGTTCACTTTTGTGTCGCATGTAACTCAAAAAGTATTTGACCTAGAGTCATGAAACTTTACAGGACTGTTGATCAGCATGTGTAGTTGTGCACCTGGGTATTTTCGTCTGGATATATTAAGTATTTTCAAAGTTATTGCCCTTGACTTAGTAAAATTTTGCAATTTTCAGCCTTGTGTCGCATGTAACTCAAAAAAAATTTGACCTAGAGTCATGAAACTTTACAGGAATGTTGATCAGCATGTGTAGTTGTGCACCTGGGTATTTTCGTCTGGATATTTTTTAGTATTTTCAGAGTTATTGCCCTTGACTTAGTAAAATTTTGCAATTTTCAACTTTGTTGTCGCACGTAACTCAAAAAGAATTTTTACCTAGAGTCATGAAACTTACAGGAATATTGATCAGCATATGTAGTTGTGCAACCTGGGTATTTTCATGTGGATATTTTTAGTATTTTTAGAGTTATTGCCCTTGACTTAGTAAAATTTGGCAATTTTCAACATGTGTCGCACGTAACTCAAAAAGTATTTGACCTAGAGTTATGTAACTTTACAGAAATATTGATCAGCATGTGCAGTTGTGCACCAGGTATTTTCGTCTGGATTTATTTAGTATTTTTAGAGTTATTGCCCTTCACTTAGAAATTTTTTGCAATTTTCAACTTGGATTTGACATAGTCATTAAACCTTATGGGCAGGTTGCTCAGCATATTTTAGATTTGCACCTGGGGTTTCGCTTGTGGATTTATCAAATATTTGTAGAGTTATTTCCCTTGACTTAGTAAAAAGATTGACAGAACAGTGGCGCGGTGGGGGCACCCGTGTCCTATGGACACATTTCTAGTTGGAAATTGTTTTAAAAGAATAATTATAAACATACATGTATATAAAACTTCACTTAACCTTTCATTGCATGACAAGTGCCTGTTTGTGCCTGAAATAATTCACGGAAGGGCACCTGAGGTCTTCTTTCACCAGTAAAGCTGGAACGTGGCCATATGATCTATACTGTGTCGGTGTGACGTACAAACCCAATTACACAAACAAACAAATTTTTTTCATTGAAAAGCCTCCTGTTACAAGTTTAAACTGCTGTGAAACTATAAAAAATGCTTCAATACTGATCAAACTTGGCACAAATGTTGACTGGACCATAGCCTCTGTAACAGCATGCTCAATCTTATATTTCTTGTTACCATGGCAACGGGGGACGTCTCAAAATCGCAAAAATCCCTATTTTGTGTTGTTTTTTTTATAGTAATTGAACCGTCCGTATGTCCGTACAAGGTTAACCTAGAACGGCAAGTTGGATTTTTCTTAAGTTCTACCTGTACCAATGGCTTCATAATTTACACACTTACTAATCCATACAAAGTATATGATCTGGGCAAGTTACATAACTATGGCTTCCATTTGCACCAAGTTATGGCCCTTTTCAGCACTTAGAAAATGAATAATGGTTAACCTAAACCGGCAAGTTGGAAATATCTTGTGTTCTATCTGAACTAATGGCTTAATAATTTTCACACTTACATATCAATACAATGTACATGATATTGCCAAGTTATATAAATGTGCCATCCATTTTCCCAGTAATTTCCCTTTTTATCACTTTGAAAATAGGGACTTGTATGGTTAACCTATTCCGCCAAGTTGGATTCATCAAACAATTTCACCTAATTACTTAATTTATTTAATGATATCTTTCATATTATTTTGGTAGGTGGATTCCTTTAACGGTCCTCTAATTTTTGGTTGCGTTAGGCGTCTCTAGGTCAAGGTCACTTGTGTAAAAAAATAAATCTAAACATTTCTGCTCATACAGCCTTTATTTTTAAGTTAATGTCTCATGCTTATAATAGTCATACCAAGGGAGGTCCTCTTCCTTTTCCTTTAGTAAGGGGTCATTTGGGTCCAGGTCGACAATGTCAAAAATAGATTTTTTTACACTTTTACAGGTGTATTAACCTTATTCTATCGACAGATGTCTTGTATATTTTGTAGGAACATAAAATTGAGGTATTCTCAATTGGATGGAGGTAGGGGTCAGTTGGATCAAGGTCACCAGTGCTAAAAATAGATTTTTACACTTTTGCTCATACAGCCTTTATTTATTGACAGATTTGTATTATAATTGGTAGGAAGATAACTTACATGGTATTCTTCCTTTGGATGGAGTTAGGGGTCAGTTGGGTCAAGGTCAACAGTGCTAAAAATAGATTTTTACACTTTTGCCCATTACAGCCTTTATATATTGACAGATTTATTTCATATTTGGTAGGAAAATAAGTTGCATGATATTCTTCCTTTGGATGGAGTTAGGGGTCAGTTGGGTCAAGGGCAAGGGTGCCAATTACAGATTTCTACACATGATTGGTTTTCTTCCATACAAATTAGCTACTTCACTCTCTAAAGTTAAATTATTGACAACAGTGAGCGCGGGGGCATTTGTGTTTATCAAACACAGATTCTTGTTTTACCATCAAAACTGATTTCAAAGTGCTGCAACTTCTCAGTGGATTGAGATAGAGTAAAAGGCTTTTCAGTGTTGCTTACACGTTACCTTAAGATTAACCTAAGGCCATTTTTAGCCTGTCACATGTCCAAAATTTTCTTGGCGATGAGGGGGGCTGTGTTTGGGGCCTAAATAGGGCATTTTTTCACTGTTTGATGCCTCAAAAAAGGGGGGAGGGCCAAAAAGCCATCAAAACACGTCTATATGAGGTAAAAGGTTAAGAAATAATGCATTGTTGAATTCTGACTGCCACTTAAAGTCATGTTTGTCTGCTCCCCGAAGGAAGAGCATAAAGTTCGTGCTTTGCCAGTCTGTCTGACTGTCCGTCTGCATTTTCTTTTTTGAAACTACAAGAGATATCAACAAAAAACTTTGTAGGTAGATAGATCTCATTGAGTAGAAGTGCATTGCACAAGAACCATCTCTCTGTCTTGCCTAATTTTGGAGAGATTGCCCCTTTTTTCATTTTTAGCTCGACTTTTCTATGAAAAGGGGAGCTATCCTACTCGCCCCGGCGTCGGCGTCGGCGTTGGCGTCACACCTTGGTTAAGTTTTTCGTACCACCCCACTTTATTTCAGAAGTATTACAAGTATGGCTTTGAAACTTACCATACTTGTTCACCATCATAACCTCCATCTACAGACAAGAGTACATAACTCTGTCAAGGTTTTTGACAGAATTATGGCCCTTTTTTGACTTAGAAAGTGTATTGAGCTTGGTTAAGTTTTTGTACCACCTCACTTTATTTCAAAACCATTGGAGGTATTGCTTTGAAACTGACCATACTTGTTTACCATCACGACCTTCATCAACAGACAAGAGGACATAACTCTGTCAAGGTTTTTGACAGAATTATGCCCCTTTTTGACTTAGAAAATACATTGAATATGGGTAAAATCCACTTATTGCCTTAACCCTTTGAGATATTGCTTTGAAACTTTTAATGCTATTTCACATCATTACCCCCAACTGTACGCAAGAGAAGGTAACTCTGTCAAGGATTTGTTTTAAAAATTAAGGCCTTTTATCGACTTAGAATCTTGGTTAAGTTTTTAGTACCAGTCCACTTTTTGACTGAACTGTTTGAGATATTAATTTGAAAGTTGGAATACTTGTTTACAATCATGATTCCCAAACATGTCCAGGAGAAGGTAATTCTGTCAAAGATTTTATTTGAATTATGGCCCTTAACTGTCAATGTTTTGTATTATAGGCAAGCACTAAAAAACTTAAAAAATCTAAAAAAATTCATTCCTATCCACTTGTTCACTTTACCATAAATTATGTCATATAAACATTGCTGTAATATTCAAATTAAAATTTATCTATTACTTGTATTATAAGGTAACTATAATACTTTCACATACAAAGTCAAATCTATATATTATGCTGATTGTACAAAAATATACTGCTTCCTTGGCATAGATTTCTTGAAAAATTATGTTATTATGTCATTTACCAAGGTGTTCTGAGTGACGTAAAAATACCTTATTCTCTCAAAGTGGGTTTAATACTATTAAATTTTTTAAGGCTCAACTCAGTTTTTTTTTCTTTCTTACCAGCCCTCTTTTGACTTAAACATTTCAAACTTTGCTGCAGTGTTCAAGGGTATCACACAATTCAGTAAAATAATTCTTCACTAAATATCTTAATGCTCATGGCCATTGTTCATGCACTTTGAAAATACAGAGATTCTTGTATTGCCTTTTACTGCAAAAACTTTTTTTATTGGCAAGCAATAAAAAAGTCGAGCGCGCTGTCTTACGGACAGCTCTTGTTACACTTTCAACTTTGTCCGGGACATTACTCTGAAACCACAAGAGATATCAACAAGAAACTTTCTTGGTAGATAAATCTCATTAAGTAGAAGTGCAGTGCATAATAACCATAACTCTCTGCTTAATAACCATGTTAACTTTTGAGTAACTGCCCCTTGTTATTTTTCACACTTTCTTTTCCACAATGTAACTCCAATAGATGAAAACTACTGACTTAAACTTTACAGACAGATAGATCTCATACTTGTGAAGTGCAGTGAATAAGACCCATAACTCTTTGCTTCATAATTTTTCAGTTACTGCCCTTTGTTAATACTTTCTCCATTTCAAACTTAAACAATTTTTAACTTTTCCAGCAAATACTTATAACATAAATAAAAATAGAAGTCAATATGAAACCCATTTAATTTGTGAAATATAGCTAACTTTTTGTTTTTATGATTTTATAAAATGCAGCTTTAACTTTTCTCAAAGGAGTTGAAAGAAGCTCAATGCTTTAATTGATAAAATTTTCTAATTATAGATGTTTGACTGCTAAGATTATAGATGGTAAACAGATGGCTCAGACTATAAAAGATGAAGTGAAAGAGGAGGTGGCTAAGATTATGGCAACAGGGAAACGTGCACCACAGCTCAGTGTGATACTTGTTGGAGATGATGCAGCTAGTAAAACATACATTAAGAATAAATTCAAGGCAGCAGAATACACAGGTATGTGCCTATGTTTGTTACATACCAGAAAATGTTACTTATACATGAAGTCATAAGGAAATGCTGCTCTTTGAAATTGCTTTTTAACTTCTTTGTATATAATGCAGTCTGAAAAGAAATACTGTTATGTGGTACTTTTGCAGAACATGTTTTTGTAAAATTATAGCAATATTTAAATCTTAGAGGCTTTAGCTTAGATATTTGATATAAAACATTATCTGTTGGACTTCTACACAAATTATTCAAATTAAAGCCTTTGGCCCGCCCTAGGGGAACATAGATTTTTCTTCTCTGTATATAGTAAAAACTTTTGAAACAATTTCTTTTCTAAATCTACAAGAGCTAAAGCTTAGTTCTTTTGACATGAAACGTTATCTAGTAGACCTCTACTAAAAAAAACTAAAAATTGGCCCGCTCCAGGGGTCATTGACTTTCCTATTATGTTACTGTATAAAGTGAAAATAGAAAAAATCTTTTTCTATTATACTGTAGAGGCTTTAGCTAAGATATTTGGTATGAAACATACAAAAATTATAGCCCTTAGGAACAAAATTGGTCCTGTCCCGGGGAACATAGATTTTCCTTTTATATATAATGCAAAGTAAAAAAATTCTTCTTCAAATCTACAAGAGCTAAAGCTTAGTTTTCATAGCAACTAGTGACTGCATAGCAGCCATTGACTTTTCATAGAAATCTGTAAATTTTCATAGAAACTAGTGACTTCCATAGTAAACATTAAATTTCCAATCTAGCATTGAATTTCATAGCAGGCACTGGCTTTCAAGGAAACCATTTATTTTGTGTAGCAACTGGTGACTTCTTATGTAACTGTTGTTTTCCCTTAGCAATAGCAACCAGTAATGTTTTATCACATGCACTATTTCAGATATAAATACCAACTTTGTGATATCACTTTAAGATTTAGATTTTATCTGCTTTCGTTTATAGTTTACAGTATTCATGGAGGGAATTAATATTCAGGTGAGCGATATTAGGGCCATCATTGCCCTCTTGTTTCAAATAGTTAAGGTGCAGATGGGGTATGAATCACCTTTAGTGATAGTTCTAGTTTGTATTGGTTAGATTTACTTCAAATATAGAAAGTAGTATTCCTATTTGCTCATTTTATATCAATTTTGCCTTTTAATTACAGTTCTCCTGTGCTTCTTCTCATAATTGGGATTATTGTAGCATTTTTGGGTAGTCCTCTAAATAAATCTGTTTTACCTCTTTAATAATCAGACGGGAAATATACAAACTAAAAACTTAAATATATCATATTAAGAGAAATGGGGAATTTTAGCTTAAGAAAAAAATACATCCCTATAATAAATTTCAGAAAATTCTTAATGCTGATTGAGTGAGCAGAGGGCCTATGCATAATATTAAACATGTATATACAAATGTCATGGGATTACAATATGTATAGAGAAGTAAAGCTCCTCTTTCTAACTACAAGATTGTACACTGAAAATCACAACCAGGTCTGAATTTTGATTTTTAAAAGGACATACTTGTATCAATTTTAAAAGGGGTAAAGGTCACATTTATCTGTATGTATGCACATTGTTATTCTTGGTCATGTAGTAGTTAAGCAAATAGACATATTGAGTGATATACTTAATAATACATTTGATTTTTCAATCTAAGTACATTGTACCAGCTTTTATTTTGTTTGCAATATGTAATACATACATAACTGTGATATAATACACTCTGGTATATAATCAGTTTATGAATTTAATGTGAAAATGTTCACCTCTCATTAATTGTTTGACTTCTGTTGATATTAGCACAAATCCTGGTTTTTGATGACATTTCTCTTGCATGGTAATCAGAAGAGAGGTCCTGTGAGTTTAAGGAGAGAGTTGTAATTGTATTTATCTCAAACATCTATGTATTACTTTTTTTGTCTTCGGAAATTTCATTTATTTTCAGTTCTGGGTTGGATACATAGGCATTGTTAGATACAGTGATGAGATAACTGGTGTATTTATTTTTCTGTTGTCAGGTATAAACAGCGAACTAATTAATTTACAAGCTGACACACAAGAAGAAGAGTTACTTACCGTGATTGAAAAACTCAACAATGATGATAATATAGATGGTGTTTTAGTTCAACTACCTGTACCTGACCATATCACAGAGAAAAGGGTAAATATATCTATTATAAATAAGGGGTGGGTTACTGGTTAATGTGTATGCCTCTAAACACAGTGATATACTGGGTCTGAGCCCTACTAACATTTCTTCATATGACACCAGTACTGGGTAGTTCCAGGAAGTGGACTTGAGAGCAATTCTATAAACTTAAAGCTTTCATCAAAAGTAAGGTAAACTAAATATGTTTAAAGGCACATAAGCCTCAAAAATTCATATTTTTATGCCCCGGGGGCATATAGTAATTGAACTGTTCGTCTGTCCGTCCGCACTACCAAATAGGGATAGGTGGCCATCTAACTGTAAACGGAACAAAAGAGAACAATAGAGTTCATTCCGTATCAATAAAATAAGGGGCCATTGGCCCTCTATTAAACAATAGAAAATAACAAAAAAAATGGCCTTTTATTCCATATTCGCCGTCTGTCCGTCCATATGAGGTTAACCTAAAACAGTAAGTACTACCTATACCAATGGCTTCAAACTTAACACATTTACTTATGAACACACACATGATCTGGACAAGTTACATAACTATGGCTTCCATTTTTACCAAGTTATTGCCCTTTTCAGCACTAAGAAAATGAATAATTGGTTAACCTAAAACTGCCAGTTCTATCTATACTAATAGCTTCATAGTTACCACATTTACTTATCAATACAAAGTACATGATATTGACAAGTTATATAACTGTGTCATCCATTTTTTTCCAGTTATTCCCCTTTTATCACTTTGAAAATAGGGCCTTGTATGGCTAACCTATTCAGGCAAGTTGGATTTATCTTAATGTCTCCTAATTATTTCATTTATTTGATGATATCTTTCATATTTGGTAGGTGGATGATACCTTAAATGTTCTTTAATTCTTTAATGAATTTATTGTTACTGGCATGTGAAGATCTAGCATTGATCAAAATTTTGCACTGAAAGTCCAGATCCATCCCTCAATTTCTTGAAGTAGCACAATTTTGTGCTTCATGTATACTTCCTTTAGGCGGGGGATGTTGGTAACTCTGTTACAACATATTTAGTGAATACATTTGAGAATAAAATACAAAGTAACATTGGATTCAAGAACCTAATACAAGTATCCATGGATGGCCCTAATGTAAACTGGGCTGCCTTTGACTGTTTACTGGTAAATATCAAATTGACAAAGGTTCTTGTGGATTACATTCTGTTCATTATGCATTTAAAGCTATGAAACAGGATGGGGACTTTCTGGACAGCTGTCGGCACTTAACACTTTATTTCAAGATGTTCCTGCTTGGAGAGAAGATTTTGAAAGAATTACTGAACAAAGTTATTACCCTCTTCACTTCTGTGCTCACCGTTGGGTTGAAAATGCTTAAGTGTGTCAGAGGGCTGTTACAGTGCTCCCATACTTCAAAACATTTATTGAACATGTAAATAAAAAGAAAAGAAAAATTCCTGGTACAAAGTCATATGATACAGTTGTTCAAATGTGTGATGACAAGTTCTGTATCTTTCATTTTTAAGAAAAGTGTGGGAACCCTGAATTTATTCCATAATTGAACACTTCCAAAATTACAAATAATGTGAGTCAAGGGCAAGAAAGGGGGGTGCATATGTGTCGATCAACATTTCTTTTTGACTGATATTTTTCATATTTGGAAGGAACACAGCTTGGTTGTTATACAGCTTTTGTTTTTGTTACCAATGTCTAATACTTTATAAGTGGTAAATTTTGCGACATGAAAATATTTGCAATTTTTGAGAATTGAAATTATTCGCAAATGTTTGTCTTATTCCTTTTTGGGCAAACTTTCGTGTATTATTTAAAATTATTTTCATACAGCATCTTACATGAATAAGTTTGACTGTTCAAGTACTGAGATTAATTTTTCACTAAGTTTGGATTTAACAAATCACAAATGTTTTAATGAAACAAAGTATGTATTAATAACACAATAGGTTATTCATATAACAAGAAATGTTTCAAAATATGACAAAGAAATGTGTGATAAAGTCCTTTATCAAACTAACAATGTATATTTCAAATAATTATGAAAATCCTAAAGGTATTACAAGTGAATAGAACGAGTACAAATAACAGCATATTCTTAACATATACCTGCTTTATTAATCATATCAGAAAAACTGTATTAAATTCAAGAAATCATATTTTCACAAATATTTCCGCACACAAAAAGTCGCAAAATTTTTGTGACTTATACGGAGTTTAGTGTCACTGGGGTGAAGGTCAAGGTCTTGCATTCATGTAAATTTGATGAATTTTTATTGTTAAGTTGAATATTACATACCGCATAGCAATGATATGCCAACTTATAATTATGCTTCACAATAAGAAAATGTCATCACTCTGTCAAGTTATGTAACTGTGTTTACAATTTTTTGTCAATTTTTCTGACCATAACTTAGTGAATGGGTAAACCTTTTTGAAACATTGTTACTGACAAGAATCTACTCGAGGGACATTTGTGTTGAACACACACGTTCTTGTTGTATTTTGATACAGGTTATGAACTCGGTTGCTCCACACAAAGATGTTGATGGCTTCCACACATTAAATGTGGGTTGCTTCTGTGTAGATGAGAAGGCTTTTATTCCAGCTACTCCAGCTGGTGTGATGGAAATGCTCAGAAGAACAGGTACAAAGTTAATATACTAGTAATTATATTCAATTGAGTTTACACTGGCCATATCTTCGCAGAAGCGGTTTATCCATCACAGTGGCAGGTGGAGTATTTGTCACATTAGCAGCGGATAAAAAAATGGCCATTTACTGTTGTTGGTAAGTTTATGACTGAATTTTTGTCCCCCAGGGATATAGAAATAGGCTCCGTCCGTCCGTCTGTCACACTTTCGTGTCCCTTCCATAACTTTGTCATTTATCAAAGGAATCTAAAATAACACAAATGTTTGTTATAATAAGACGATGTGTAATGTGCAAAACCAGACCCCTAGCTCCAGGGTCAAGGTCGCACTTGCTCATTCAAGGTCAACATTGTCTATTTGAGGGTATATGTCGTGTCCTATTCCATATCTTTCTTATCTTTGAAGGGATTTTGTAAAAACCTGCCACAATTGTTCACAATAATCAGACAATGTGTCATGCGCAACAACCAGTCACCTACCTCCAAGGTCAAGGTCACACTTGGAGGTCAAAGATTAACATAGTCTGTTACAGGGTATATTTTGTGTCTGGTCCATTACTTTTTCATAGATCAAAGGATTTGGTAAATACTTGCCATAGATAGTCACTATAATAAGATGATGTGTCATGCACAACACCAGCATCCCTACCTCCAAGTTCAAGGTCACATTTAGAGGTCAAAAGTTAACATAGTCTGTTTTAGTGTATATTTTGTGTCTGATCTAGAACTTCTTCAGGATTTTGAAATAACTTGGCACAAATAGTCACAATAATAAGACAATATGTCAAGTACAATACCTGCACCCCTACCTCCAAGGTCAAGGTCACACTTAGAGGTCAAAGGTTAACAGAGTCTGTTATTTGGTATATTTTATGTCCCTTCCATAACTTATTCATAGATCAAGGGATTTTGAAAATACTTGGCAAAAATAGTCACAATGATAAGATGATATGTAACACATGTGTCCATACCTGACCGCCTCCATGGTCGAGGGGTTAGAGTCGATGACTTCTAATCCAGTTACCTCTCTTGCGTGGGTTTGATCCCCGGGAGATGCTTTGGTAGTTTAGCTCTGAGGAAGGTAGTTTAGTACTGGTGTAACTCTCCAGGAAAGATGGTTAGGAAACTACTCGCCTATATGACTGAAATACCGTTGGGAAAAGGCGTAAAATGAAACAAACAAACAAAACACGTAGACGTCAAATATTTACATATCTAGCATATCATTTGCAGATCTAGCATTGATCATAATTTTGGACTGAAAGTCCTGAGATCCATACGTCAATCTTTTGAAATAGCACAATTTTATGCTTCATATAAAACTTCCCCTAGGTGGGGGACGTTGGTAACACTGTTACAAATTCTTGTTTTTTATGTTTTAATGTTTTACTTGAAACACCTAATAAGACGGGAGCCCACATTTGTACTCTTCCAACTTATTACATGCACACAATGTTTTTCATTGCCGATTATGCAAACAGTTCTGTACAGTTTGACGAGGGGATGCCACTTTAGTCTGATTTTGGTTAAAACACGTACAAATATGTGCAAAATAACCTCTACATACACCAGCATCACATCGTATATATGATATTTGCACAAAACAACCATATTTTGGAAGTTTTTATTGCCTTTTTATAAATAAATTGACAAAAAAGATTACAATGCGGATGACAGTGGATTTGATTGCAACGCAGTACAGTGTGTCGATACCATTTATGTCTATTTTGAGGGTTTAACTTGACATAATACACTTCAGTTGAGTACAACCCTTTTCTTACTGTGACATCAGAGAAACTTGTTTAATATTTGGTGTTTAAAACAGTATTATTATATATACAAATAGATGACCTAGTTACACTTCCTTTTCCTTCCATTGAAAATTCCTTTGGCCGGTATTATTAGGTCACCTGTCACAAAGTGACATGGTGAGCTTTTGTGATCGCTTTTTGTCCGTCATCCATCTGTTGTAAATAAATAAATTTTTACTTTAAACGACATCTCAAAAACTGGTAAGCCAATTTCATCCAAACTTCATAGGAATGTTCCTTTGGTAGTCACCTTTAAAATTTGTTCAAAGAATTTAATTCCATACAAAACTGGTTGCCATGGGAACCGAAAGAAAAAATTTAAAAATATCTTCTGTTAATAAACCAATTGAGCTAGAGCTTAGATATTTGGCATGAAACATCTTCTAGTGAGTGTTTACCAAGTTTGTTCAAATAAAAGTCCTTAGGTTAAAATTGGCCCCGCCCAAGGGTGTCATTGATTTTCCTTATATGTATATAGTAAAAACTTAAAAAAATTTCTTTTAAAAAACTCGAATAGCTAGAGCTTAGAAAATAAGCATGAAACGTCTTCTAGTGAGTGTCTACCAAGTTTGTTCGAATAAAAGCCCAGGGGTCAAAATGTGCCTCGATCTTGGGGTCATTGATTTTCTTAATATTTATATATTTTACTAAATGTGCACCCAGTTATGCCATTATCTTTATGTCTGAATTGGAGTCTAATTTTCTTAATACCCAAAGACTTACCCCATCAGTCTGGTGGAGATTTATAGACGACATATTTATAATCTGGCCACATACTCTTAGGGAATTGCATTCCTTCATGGAGGCCTTAAACAGTTATCACGATACAATTAAATTTACCTATGACATTAACTTAGAATCGGCCAATTTTCTAGATGTTCATATAATAAAAGACGACAATGGAAATCTTCAAACAACTCTGTATACCAAACCTACGGACGCTCATATGTACCTCCACTACACGTCGTTCCACCCTACACACCAGAAAAATAGCATTCCCTACAGTCAGGCTGTCCGCATACGTCGTATATGCAGCAATGATACATACTATAAAGCATGCACTGATCAATTATTCAACAATCTACGTGCCAGAGGGTATCCTTTACAAAACTTGTAAGAAATGCCATAAAAGAAAGCATCAGAACTTAATAGATCTATTCTCTTCTCTGTTAATAAAAACGAACCACAAGAGAAGAAAATCATTTCCGTTTATAACTACTTTCAATCCATACATACCACCAGCTCAAAAAAATTTTGAACTCGTACCTTAACATATTAAGTGACAATGATTTCACTACTTTCATTAGGAGCTCTAAAATTGTAGCAGTATATCGTCGATCAAATAACATAAGGCGAATCTTAGTTAAATCAGACATTTCTAGCGATAAATTCTCGAATGGCAGTTACCCGTGCAGACAAAATTGTCTTACATGTAAATTCATGTCTAATACTATAGAATTTAACAGTACCGCTACAAATGAAACATTTAAAATCTTTGGACATCATACATGTAAAACTGTAAGCTTAATTTATTTAATAACATGTAAACAATGCAAATTACAGTATGTAGGACAAACTGGCAATTCACTAAGAGATCGATTCTACGGCCATTTAGCCGACATCCGAAGTAAAAACAACGTCAAGCCCGTTTCGCGCCATTTTAATATAAACGGACATCGTGAATTCGACGTCACAATAATACAAACAACTGAAAGAAACATCAATATTAGATTAAGAACGGAAGAGGTATGGATCAGGAAATTAAAAACAAGAACTCCAAGCGGCTTAAATCTTATGTAAAAACGGAAGAAATATATTATGCACGAAAAATAACTGAAGAAGAATGGCCTAAACCCAGATATACCAAATTATGTGAAACTTGCGATATCGTTTACACTGATAAAAACAGATGGTACCAACACCAAAAAACTCATGCTGAATACATAACCAAGTTCATTTGCTCCTGGTGCAATAAGCACTATGCTAGACGGGATTCACTTAAAAGACACTCCATAAACGTACATGGATTCAATGAAACAAAGTTTGAAAATATCAAAATTGATAAACCAAGAACAACACCCAAACCAACTGAAAGCAAATATAGGATACTAAAAAAGATGCCTACATTTCGAATCATTAACAATAGAGGAACACCACAACTAATCAACAAGAAACAGAACAAAAAAACTAAGAACATCAACAAAACACAGAAGATCAACATGGACATTGAAACTATGAACTTTCAAATACCAGAACCTATATCTCCATTAAATCCAAGTAAGAACAACAGCTCTGAAACCTTGTGCGAAGATGAATTCGGACAGTTTAGTCAAACCAATGAACAGATAATTTCTATTGGATCCATTTATGGTATTTTTCGTGAAACTAAGTAGGACTTATAATAACAACATTTTCATTTTTTATATTTATTAACAACATATTGGCAAAATTCCAAAAAATTCTTGGCACATTTCCAGAACATAACCAAATATAGTATTGTCACGTGACTTTTAAGTTTACACATTTAGTATACTTCAGGGCCTAAATTTTAAAATATTTCTGTATTATCCTGATGAAGGTCATTATATGACCGAAACCGGTAGATAAATAAATTCACTTAAACTCACTCTGGTGTTCCTGACGTGTTGTTTTCCATCCTCTCCTTGATTACTTAATATTTATATAGTGAAAACTAAAAAAAATGTTCTTTTAAAAAACCCAAATAGCTAGAGCTTAGATATTATGCATGAAACATCTTCTAGTAAGTGTCTACCAAGATTGTTCAAATTAAAGCCCATAAGCAGTAAAAAAAATAACAAAGAAAATAGCCCCTAAGCCCATAATGTTGGAGCGGACGTCTGTTTGTCCGCCTGTAACACTTTTGTGTCCATAACTTTTAAACCGCTAAATTTTTATACACCTGTTTGAAAAACGGGACGTATTATGGGAACGCCCCTGGCGGTCGGGCGGGCGGTCGGGCGGGCGGCGTCCAATTTTGTCCGGAGCATTATCTCCTACATGTATGGAGGGATTTTAATGAAACTTCATAGAAATGTTTACCACTATGAGGAGCAGTGTCGCGCACATGAACCAGGTCTCTAGGTCAAAGGTCAAGGTCACACTTAGAGCTCATTGAAAAATGCTTGTCCGGAGCAAAACTTCCACATGTATAGAGGGATTTCAATATTACTTGGCACAAATGTTCACCATTGTGAGGCGGAGTGTCGCGCGCAAGATTCAGGTCCTTGCAGCAAAGGTCAAGGTCACACATAGAGGTCAAAGTTCAGATAAAAATATGAAGATGTGTATATGGACCATTTAGTCATCATTTATTGAGGGATTGTAACACAAATGGTCATTATCAAGACTATGGCTGTGATACATATAATTTAGGTCAATATATACAAGGTCAAGGTCACTAAAGATGATGAAATATCCAGATTTTGTCCGGAGCATATCTCCTACACGCATGGAGGGATTTTAATGAATTTCATAGAAATGTTCACCATTATGAGAAGCCATGTCACGCACATGAACTAAGTCTATAGGTCGAAGGTCAAGGTCACACTTAGAGCTCATTGAAAAACGCTTGTCCGGAGCAAAACTTCCACATGCATAGAGGGATTTCAATATAACTTGGCACAAATGTTCACCATTGTGAGGCGGGTGTCGCGCTCAAAATTCAGGTCCCTGCAGCCAAGGTCAAGGTCACACATAGAGGTCAAAGTTTAGATAAAAATGAAGATGTGTATAGGACGATTTAATCATCATTTATTGAGGGATTGTAACACAAATGGTCATTATCATGACAACGGCTGTGACACATGTACTTTAGGTCAATATATGCAAGGTCAAGGTCACTAAAGATGGTGAAAATATCCAGATTTTGTCTGGAGCATATCTCCTACATGTATGGAAGAATTTTTATAATACTTTATGGGAAATGTTCACCACCATGATATGTATTGCTCCATGCATGATCCAGGTCTCCAGGTCAAAGGTCAAGGTCACACTTAGAGCTCATTGAAAAACGCTTGTCTGGAGCAAAACTTCTACATTCATAGGGGGATTTCAATATAACTTGGCACAAATGTTCACCATTGTGAGGCTGAGTGTCGCACGCAAAATTCAGATCCCTGCGACGAAAGTCAAGGTTACACATAGAGGTCAAAGTTCAGATAAAAATTTGAAGATGTGTATAGAGACCATTTAGTTGTCATTTATTGATGGATTGTAGCACAAATGGTAACTATCATGACTACAGGTGTGACACATTTAATTTAGGTTAATATTTGCAAGGTCAAGGTCACTGGAGATGATTAAATATCCAGATGTTGTCCGGAGCATATTTTCTACATGCATGGAGGAATTTTAATGTTACTTTATAGAATTGTTCACCACCATGAGACGTAGTGCCCTGCACATGAACCAAGTCTCTAGGTCAAAGGTGAAGGTCACAGTTAGAGCTCATTGAAAAACGCTTGTCTGGAGCAAAACTTCTACATGCATAGAGGGATTTCAATATAATTTGGCACAAATGTTCATCATTGTGAGGCTGAGTGCCGTGCATAAAATTCAGGTCCTGCGACCAAGGTCAAGGTCACACATCCTGTGCATATCTTCCCTACTGATTTGTTTTAAGGTTCATTTAACAACACAGTGCCAAGAATAAAAACTTGCTTGCTAGATAACACTTATCCATAATGCCCCCATCTCCATCTAAAGCTTTCGTAAACGGGCGTATTTTGTGACTATGGCACCCTTGTTTTAAAATAACTTGGCACAAGTGATCACCATTATTAGACAATGTGCAGAGTGCAATAAATGGGTTGCTATCCCCAAGGTCAAGGTCACACTGAAAGGTCAAGTGTTTAAAAGTCTAATTTCTTGTCTGCTCCATACCTTTTAAACTGCTTAATTTTTTTTGAAATAACTTGGCACAAGTGATCACCATTATGAGACAATGTGCAGAGCATAATAATAGGGTTGGTACCCCCAAGGTCAAGGGCATACTTTAAGGTCAAGAGTTAAAAAGTCTACATTTCGTGTCCGCTCCATAATTTTAAACTGCTTGAAAATGTTTATGCCCCCACAATGTGGGAGCATATAGCGTTGCACTTGTCCGTCCGTCCGTCAGTCCGTCCGTCCCGAAATCTTGTGAACGCAACTCCTCTTAAACCGGATGGCAGATTTTGCTTAAACTTACAGGGATGAACAACCTTAATGTGTAGATGGTAGTAAAGGAAGGAATTTTCGCTGCGACCAAATTTAACAGAATTATGGCCCTTTGTTGATTTTTTCACTATATACTATGTAGAAATTTTGTGAATGCAACTCCTCTTAAACCGGATGGCAGATTTTGCTTAAACTTACAGGGATGAACAACTTTAATGTGTAGATGGTAGTAAAGGAAGAAATTTTCGCTGCGACCAAATTTAACAGAATTATGGCCCTTTGATGATTTTTTCACTATATACTATGTAGAAATTTTGTGAACGCAACTCCTCTTAAACCGGATGGCAGATTTTGCTTAAATTTCCAGGGATTAACAACCTTAATGTGTAGATGGTAGTAAAGGAAGGAATTTTCGCTGCGACCAAATTAAACAGAATTATGGCTCTTTGTTGATTTTTTCACTCTATACTATGTGGAAATTTTGTGAATGCAACTCCTCTTAAACCGGATGGCAGATTTTGCTTAAACTTCCAGGGATTAACAACTTTAATGTGTAGATGGTAGTAAAGGAAGGAACTTTTGCTGCAACCAAATTTAACAGAATTATTGCCCTTTGTTGATTTTTAGTTTTCAACTTGTGGCACATGAAGTCCAAAAAATATTTGACCTAGAGTCATAAGATTGACAGAACAGTGGCGTGTGGGGGCATCAGTGTCCTATGGACACATTTCTAGTTTAAATAACTTTGCAGAAATCATGTGCAGAACCCAACATCAAGTATGTTACTCCCAAGGTAATTGGTTAAATGTTCTCCATAACTTTTTGACTATATGGAATATTTTAAACAACAGGGCACAAATAATTACTATTATGAGACTTAGTGCTTATAGTATACATGGCACAACATCAAGGTCCTGGTCTGTTAAAGATCAAGAAGTGCACATTCATGTCCACTGCGGAAGGGGATTTAGCTGTCCTTCAGACTGCCTTGTTTTTATAAAAAGGCAATTACAATTTACAAAAGTTCCAAAATATGGTTGTTTGTGCAAATATCATTCATACGATGCTATGCTGATGTATTTAGGCCTTGTTTTGCACATATTTGTATGTATTTTAACCAAAATTTAGGCTAAAGTGGCGTCCCCTCGTCAAACTGTACAGAAGTGTTTGCATATTCGGCAATGAATTACATCATTTGCATGTAATTGGTGGAAAGAGTACATATGTGGGCTCCTGTCTCACTAGATATTACAGTAAAACATTAAAACATAAAGTAAAATTCAGTCCTAAATGGCCATTTTTTATCCACCGCTTCTGTGATAAATACTCCACTGCCACTGTGATGCACCCACCACTTCTGCAAAAGCTATGGCCAGTGTGATGTTTGATTAAAAAAAAGATATTTGTTGGGATGATAATTTTTTTTTTTTTTTTTGAGGTTTCTTGGAATGGCTATACTGGGATCCTACATATTTACCAGACAATCAGTTTACCGGACAAAAGCTATTGCTGCTGAACAGTGCTTTATTTTTTGCTTCGATTTAAAAATCATACAGTCTGAATTGTACACACACTTTCTATTTCTAAGTAAATAACAACAAAACCACTCTCAGGTAAATATTGTTGATTCAATTCTTTAGCTACTAACATGCCTTTTTGTTTACTAGTTATTTCATGACCTGGTCATGCGGGGTAATAATCTGTTCTGCACAGGCCGGAATATAGAGACCCTTAATGGTTTTTTTAGATAGGTTTTACTTTTAATTCTTTCCAGCGTTACCTCAAAAGACAATCGTAACATATTTCAATGATAAGAAGTAATTTTAAATTTAATCTTAACAGTATCTTGTTGTTGTCTTTTACAAAGAAGTGTAAATTAAAAAAACATATATGGAAACGGGTTACGCCCATGGGAGGAAACTCTACATGAAATGTAAATAAAATAGATTTTATGGCTTTTGTAACATGCTACATGATGACCAAAAGGAAACTGTATGATAAAGAACAGAATTCCATTTGAATATTAAAATGTTTCATACGTTTAAGGATCATAAAGAATCAATACGTTAATTGAGTTAATAATGTTAATTTCAATTATACCCCATATATTGGCCTCTTCATAACAGGCATGGCTGCCTTGTCTATTTCTAGTGACATACTGGGTTTTTCAAATATCTTAACCTTGCCATTCAATAGTCGTAGTTTCCTTGCTGATTATTTATTTAAAGATTAATTTTAATTCACGACTTCAAAAATGTTTGAAACACAATGTCCGTTGAATTGAGTTGTTTGCACGATTTTTTCCTTTTATATTGGCTTCTTTAAAGACACATTTCTACAGTCAAATGTTTAATTTCATGTTTGATAAAATAATGTTTAAGTGCATTAAGAACCCAAAGTTATTTGGGTAAAATTCCATTCTTTTTTATTATTTTGAATAAAAGTTACAGATAAAAAACTTCATATTTTGTCTGGTAATATGTAGGATCCCAGTAAATGTAGTTAAAGTTGTCATGATAGAAAATGTGTCACAAGCATCAAGTGATGGTGTTATAGATTACACATAATGCCTTCAATCACATTAGATTATGTATGTATGACATTTTGAAGTCTTATGATAATAAGAATCATAAAGTTATAATATTTTGTCTTGGGAATTATTTATTATGTAGCTTACAAAAAGTAAGTTTTGCTTTCATTCATACTAGTTATGTAATAGATGTTTGTAGGAAAAAAATATGTTTAATTGTATTGCATTTATGGTTTATGTCATTATAGGCATTGAAACATTTGGTAAGAATGCAGTTGTTTGTGGCAGGTCAAAGAATGTTGGAATGCCAATAGCCATGTTACTCCATGCTGATGGCATATATGAGACTAAGGCAGGTATGGTAGTGCTTTTGATTAAAGTGTTTAACAAGACTGTCAATTATATTTTAGCAATCTGAGCACATAGTAAAGGTATGCATTTTTAGCTTGACTATTGGATAAGAATAAGTAGAGCTATTGTAGTCACCCGAGCGTCGGCTAAGCTAAGCTAACCACTTATGTTAAAGTTTTTGTAATACCTCAAATATTTTCAAAGTCCATTGACATATGGCTGTGAAACTTGTTTGCACACATGTTCACCATCATGACCCCAACCTGTAGACAGGAGGAGGTAACTGTATCAAGCATTTTAACAGAATTATGCCCCTTTTTATATCCCTGAAAGCCCGTTAGCAATTTGGTTTCGGAGCATAACTTAAGTTCGATTTGGCCCACAATATTCAAACTTCATAGGATGATTGTCTATATTGGGTAGAAGACCCCTATTGATTTTGGGGTCACAAGGTCAAAGGTCAAGGTCACTATGACCTTAAAACTGAAAACAGTTTCCGGAGCATAACTTAAGTCCGATTTGGCCCACAGTGTTCAAACTTCATAGGATCATTGTTCATATTGGGTAGAAGACCCCTATTGATTTTGGGGTCACAAGGTCAAAGGTCAAGGTCACTATGACCTTAAAACTGAAAACAGTTTGTGGAGCATAACTTAAGTCCCATTTGGCCCACAGTGTTCAAACTTCATAGGATGATTGTCCATATTGGGTAGAATACCCCTATTGATTTTAGGGTCTAAAGGTCAAAGGTCAAGTTCACTATGACCTTAAGACTGAAAACAGTTTGTGGAGCATAACTTAAGTCCCATTTGGCCCACAGTGTTCAAACTTCATAGGATGATTGTCCATATTGGGTAGAATACCCCTATTGATTTTAGGGTCACAAGGTCAAAGGTCAAGGTCACTATGAACTGAAAACAGTTTCCGGAGCATAACTTAAGTCCCATTTGGCCCACAGTGTTCAAACTTCATAGGATGATTGTCCATATTGGGTAGAATACCCCTATTGATTTTGGGGTCACAAGGTCAAAGGTCAAGGTCACTATGACCTTAAAACTGAAAACAGTTTGTGGAGCATAAAAACTTCAGTTCCATTTGGCCCACAGTGTTCAAACTTCATAGGATGATTGTCTATATTGGGCAGAAGACCCCTCTTGATTTTGGGGTCACAAGGTCAAAGGTCACTATTACTTTAAAATTGAAAACAGTTTCTTGAGCATAACTTTAGTTCCATTCAGCCCACAATATTCATATTTCATAGGATGATTGTCCATATTAGGTAGAAGACCCCAATTGATTTTGGGGTCACAAGGTCAAAGGTCAAGGTCACTATTACCTTAAAACTGAAAACAGTTTCCGGGGCATAACTTCAGTTCCATTTGGACCACAATATTCAAACTTCATAGGAGGATTGTTATTTGAAGGAGGTAATACTTTATTTAATTCCAATGTCTTACTAATGCTTCATCTTTACTGGAAAAACAAAAATCACTTTCGGGCATATAATGCTCCGCCTTGCGGTGCTCTTGTTCAACTTATAATTTACGTTAAAGTTTATGTAATACCTCAAATATTTTCAAAGTCCATGGACATATGGCTTTGAAACTTTGCACACTTATTCACCATCATGACCCAAACCTGTAGACAGGAGAAGGTAATTGTATCAAGCATTTTAAAAGAATTATGTCCCTTTTTCAACTTAGTATTTACGTAAAAGTTTTTTTTAATACCTCAAATATTTTCAAAGCCCATTGACAAATGGCTTTGAAACTTTGCTCACTTGTTCAACATTATGACCCCAACCTGTAGACAGGAGGAGGTACTGCGAATTCACTTAAATTCGTGGGCATGAAATTTCGTGGTTTTATCAAAAAGGGCATTTTCGTGGGTTCTTAAATTCGTGGATTTTCGTTTTCTTGTTAAAAAAAATTCAGTAACCTAGCTAATGCAAAATAATCTTAAACTTAATCGCCGAACATTTTTACTTACAACATGTACATATCTTTACTTGTCACACAGCGCTTGTCAATAAATTTAATCCTTGCCTCTGGGCATAACTAATTTAGCACAGTTATTGCCGATAATTGACTGCAATTAACACATTTATGTGACATGATATACACACTGCCCCTGTAATTCGCCGATGTAAACATCGCATAATTTATACGACACCTGACAGGTTTTAACCAGCGAGTAAGTTTACACCCTTAATTGGTCTTTACATATTTGACAGTACTTAACTACACGCAACGTCACAGCGACTGTGTAAATTTACATGCATAAAAATTAATCTCGGTAAATAACACGAGTATGTGTGGATCTTGTTTTTTTTTTTTTAGACCTTGTAAAAGTCGGTGGCGTCTTTGATGTTGACGGAATAGCATTCGCACAAATACAGATTAAAATTCATATAAACTTGATCATTTAAAACGACAAAAGAATGTACAATAAGTCTGTTTTAGCGACCACATTTTTTTTTATAGTTTTGTGTACTTACGACATTAATATCAAAGACTTTTTTTAATAAATAAGAGCAAACTGACATTTTTTATTAGCACTAATTATTGCACTGCCTGGGTTCCCATATTTACTCGATTATGTCAAGTATTCTTGTGACACAATCAAGTCCTAGTGGACTACAACGATCAAGTACGTATATGCGACATTTGTGACAGTAAATTGAGGTCATATAATCGAGTTTTCTTTCAAGTGTCTTAAATATTGTAAACGGATTTAATATGTCACTAACCTGATTATCTGTCTGTATATACATCCATTTCACGAAATATCGGCCGGAACAGAGCCGACGCATGTTTGTAATATATAGAACAAAGACTGGGTAAGAAGTATTTGTTGGGATAAAAGTTCGTGGGATCTTAAATTCGTGGATTGACCTACCCACAAAAACCACGAAAATTCGTGCCCCACGAATAATAATGATTTTACAGTAATTGTTTCAAGCATTTTGACAGAATTATGTCCCTTTTTCGACTTCGAATTTACTTTAAAGTTTTTGTAATACCTCAAATATTTTCAAAGTCTATTGACATATGGCTTTGAAACTTTGCACACTTGTTCACCATTATAACCCCAACCTGTAGACAGGAGGAGGTAACTGTATCAAGCTCTCCAAGGCCTATAACTGTAACATGGATTTAAAGAAAAATTTTGTCCTTTTGTTATTAACTCAGATAATTTTACATTATCAAGGCTTTTTTACTATCAAGCACTCAGAATAGTCTTGTGTTGCTGTCCTACTGACAGCTCTTGTTTAGCTCAACTATAAAATAGACGTATACTGGTTTGGGAGATAAACTCGGCCAAAAATCAGTGTTTTGGGGGCATATTTCATTTATTTGTTTACGTATTCTGATGAATCTTGCACCATTATAAACTTCAGCTCCGGTATCACCATAAAAGTTATATTTAGAAACATAACGGGTAATTTTGAGAGGCCCAGGAAGAGGTACGTAAAAAGGATATTTTTAACGCGCGCGAGTAGTTAATTCCGGCTCTTTGTTTTTCTTCTTAAATGAGTAAGTTAAAACGTAAAATAACATGTTTAGACATTTTATTATTTCTTTGCTGTTCATTTATGTCAAATAAAAATAATTTGTTACCAAAATTGTTGAGCATTACGTTAGTATAATGAATATCTATGATAACACCATATTTATATGCAACGTACTATGTAACATATAAATCATTTTTAGCTCGACTATTCGATAAGAATAAGTAGAGCTATTGCAGTCACCTGAGCGTCGGCGTCGGCGTAACCACTTATGTTAAAGTTTTTGTAATAGTTCAAATATTTTCAAAGTCCATTGACATATGGCTTTGAAACTTTGCACACTTGTTCAACATCATGACCCCAATTTGTAAACAGGAGGAGGTAACTCTATCAAGCATTTTGACAGAATTATGCCCCTTTTTCGACTTAGAATTTACGTTAAAGTTTTTGTAATAGTTCAAATATTTTCAAAGTCCATTGACATATGGCTTTGAAACTTCACACACTTGTTCACCATCATGACCCCAACCTGGAAACAGGAGGAGGTAACTCTATCAAGCATTTTGACAGAATTATGCCCCTTTTTCGACTTAGAATTTACGTTAAAGTTTTTGAATTAGTTCAAATATTTTCAAAGTCCATTGACATATGGCTTTGAAACTTTGCACACTTGTTCAACATCATGACCCCAATTTGTAGACAGGAGGAGGTAACTCTATCAAGCATTTTGACAGAATTATGCCCCTTTTTCGACTTAGAATTTACGTTAAAGTTTTTGTAATAGTTCAAATATTTTCAAAGTCCATTGACATATGGCTTTGAAACTTTGCACACTTGTTCAACATCATGACCCCAATTTGTAAACAGGAGGAGGTAACTCTATCAAGCATTTTGACAGAATTATGCCCCTTTTTCGACTTAGAATTTACGTTAAAGTTTTTGTAATACCTCAAATATTTTCAAAGTCCATTGACATATGGCTTTGAAACTTCACACACTTGTTCACCATCATGACCCCAACCTGGAAACAGGAGGAGGTAACTCTATCAAGCATTTTGACAGAATTATGCCCCTTTTTCGACTTAGAATTTACGTTAAAGGTTTTGTAATAGTTCAAATATTTTCAAAGTCCATTGACATATGGCTTTGAAACTTTGCACATTTGTTCACTATCATGACCCCAACCTGTAAACAGGAGGAGGTAACTCTATCAAGCATTGTTTTTACTATCAAGCACTAAGAATAGTCGAGCGTTGCTGTCCTACCGACAGCTCTTGTTACATAAAAACACATACGTTATCATTTATTAACGTATAACGAAATATGTAGTTAAAAAATTAGTGATTCAAATTTATTTTTGCTTAGCTTAACAGAGTGAAGAAGAAATTAATTTAGTGGTATTCAACCTACACATTAACAAATAAAAGGAGCATTTAACATCAGTCTTTCAATCCATTCCACTTAAAGATTACAATTGTGTAATCAGCCTTTTTTCTGAGTTGGCAAGACAAAAGTGAGTCTGAATTTCATCTACAAAATGTATACGTAAACGTCGTCTGCTTTATCGGTAGTCGGTCAATATATAAAAGTACCCCTGTGCGGGCCTCAAAATGAGCATCTGCTGCACATGCGCACAACAATGGGATTTCCGTACTTTTTATAGGCATGTTTTGTAAACAAACAGGTAAAAGTCTGTGTTATTTTTTAAATATCTTGCCAAACTTGACAAAATTTCCAGATATTGTCGAATTCCAGCCATAGTATGAGATGGGGAGCTTGATTAGATTAAAAATTCTGGTAACTTGATTTAATTATAAAAAGCTGAGTTTAACAACCAGCCGAAGTTTTCTCCCCAACCAGTATGGGTTTTTCACTAGGATTTGTTGAAGGTGGCAATTTTGGAAAGTGAGGAGGCCACTTGATATGAGCACTGAAGTTATGAAAATGCTATAGGGGTCTGGGGGCATACCACCATGGAAAATTTTGAAGAAAAAAATTAATGTAAAATCATGGTATCTGAGCTATTCTGGGGACAAAATTTTAATATTTTGGACCAGTCAAAATATAGGAAATTTATGTCTGAAATGAAGCTGAAACTATAGATTTATCCAATGTTGAGATAATCCAATAATTTATAATGAATTTATATATGAATATAACTTCAAACTTGGTATGACAGTTTGTCATGACCTGTTTATAAACCCTAATGATTTTGGGGTCAAGGGTTAAAGGTCAAGGTCACATTGACCTTTGTAGGTAATAATGGTTCATTTATATTATGATAATGGTAATAATGGTTTCCAATCAATAACTTAAGAACGCTTGGGCCTAGGACTTCAAACTTGGTATGACGATTGGTCATGACCAGTAGATGACCCATATTGATTTTGGGGTCAAGGGGTCAAAGGTCGGGGTCACATTGACCTTGTAGGTAATAATGGTTTCCGATCAATAACTAAAGAACGCTTAGGCTTAGAAACTTTAAATTTGGTATAATGATGACCAGTAGATGACCCCTATAGATTTTGGTGTTAAGGCTCAAGGACACATTGACCTTGTATGTGACCAATACCTCAGCAACTCAAGTTGCCTTGGTTGATATTTTTTATTAAACTAAAATTTCTTTTGGTATACACATTTCAAGGTCTTATGTAATATAACAAATTTGCTGTCATTATGAAGGAGGCCTACATGATTATACATTATTTAGTAAGATTTGTGATAACTTTGTCATAAAATTGCGGGACACAACCTTTACAGTCACAATTACCTAGTGACTAGTCGTGACCAGTAGATAATCCCTATTGATTTCTTGGTCACTAGGTCAAAAGACAGTCATAATAACCTGACCACATGAAGACTTACCTGCCGATAGGGGGCATACATGTTTTACAAACATATCTTGTTAATTAATTATTTACATGTTATGTGCGATAAATGACTCATTTTGCATTATCAATCACTTTAATTCTAACGCAGTAAGAGGTATTTAAGTATTTTTTTACCCTTTTTTGGTAATTCACATGGATTGTAAGTGCCGTTTGCAATGTGTAAATTATTTTCTTTCATCAATTCACAGTATTTTACTTTAAATACATTTTCAAAATTTTTATAAAAATTAGCATGAATCTGGAGGATTTCTGCTTTAAATTTTCTTTTTATGCTCCCCGAAAAATTTAGGGGGAGCATATAGTCGTCGGGTTGTCCATCCGTCCGTACGTACGTCCCAAATTCGTGTCCGGCCCATAACTTTGTTATTTGAAGTCGGATTTTAAAACTATTTCACAGAAATGATCACCATATTGAGACGACGTGTTGCGCGCAACATTTGGGTCGCTACCTTGAAGGTCAAGGTCACAGCATGACCTTGCAGCAAAATCGTGTCCGGTCCATAACTTCATTATTTGAAGTGGGATTTTGAAAATATTTCACAGAAATGATCACCATATTGAGACGATGTGTCGCGCGCAACATTTGGGTCGCTACCTTGAAGGTCAAGGTCACAGCATGACCTTGCAGCAAAATCGTGTCCTGCCCATTACTTTGTTATTTGAAGTCGGATTTTAAAAACTTTTTCACAGAAATGATCACCATATTGAGAAGACGTGTCGCGCGCAACATTTGGGTCGCTACCTTGAAGGTCAAGGTCACAGCATGACCTTGCAGCAAAATCGTGTCCGGTCCATAACTTTGTTATTTGAAGTCGGATTTTAAAAATATTCCACAGAAATGATCACCATATTGTAACGATGTGTCGCGCCGACATGTGGGTCGCTTCCTTGAAGGTCAAGGTCACAGCATGACTTGCAGCAAAATCGTGTCCGGCCCATAACTTCCTTATTTGAAGTAAGATTTTTAAACTATTTCACAGAAATGATCACCATATTAAAATGGCGTGTCGTGCGCAACATTTGGCTCGCTACCTTGAAGATCAATGTCACAGCATGACCTTGCAGCAAAATTGTGTCCGGCACATAACTTCATTATTTGAAGTCGGATTTTACAACTATTTCACAGAAATGATCACCACAATGAGACATTGTTTCGCGCGCAACATTTGGGTCGCTACCTTGAAGGTCAAGGTCACAGTATGACCTTGCAGCAAAATCGTGTCCTGCCCATAACTTTGTTACTGGAAGTCGGATTTAACAACTATTTCACAGAGATGATCACCATATTGAATCGACGTGTCGCATGCAACATTTGGGTCGCTACCTTGAAGGTCAAGGTTACAGCATGACCTTGCAGCAAAATCATGTCTGGTGCATAACTTCGTTATTTGAAGTCGGATTTTACAACTATTTCACAAAAATGATCACCATATTGAGACAATGTGTCGTGCACAATATTTGGGTTGTTTTTACACTTTGAACTTTGTCTGTGACATAACTCTGACACAACAAGAGGTATACCTTCCTGTGTCCAAAACCTATTCGGGGAGCATCACCCGGTTCAACCGGCTCTTGTTTAAATTTTGTCAAAACCATGTATTTGTTCGCTCTTAGAAAAAGTAAAAACTTGAGTGTTGCCCCGCCCGGTGGTGGCTCTTGTTTATTTGCGTTTGCTTTTGCAGTCAGCTCTGCTTAGTTGGGCATGATCAAAACTTTCCTTGACCAAGGTGTAGAATTAAACCAAACTTCACAGAAATGATCATTAGGTGATCCTATACAAAAGTTTCAGTCTGATAAAATGTAACAGAAACCAAACACTAAAAAAAAATGAAATCTCAAAATGTCATCCTTACAGAAACTGCAATACTCAGAGCTTACACTATATTTAGCATGAAGCATCACTTTGTTGCCCTCTCTTAAGTGATAAGTTATGCCCCATGGGTCAAACTTGGCCTGTTCTGAGGATCACATATTTTACAAAGACTTGTATTGGAAAATGCATGTGAATCATCTTTTCTGACACAACATGTCTTTTACAAGCTATTTAAATCGTGAGTTTTGGGTTCCTGTTCTGGGTAACATTTGTCATAATGACCAGATTATCATACAGACTTAAAATTCTTCTGCTCCGAAACATTTATGCTCAGATATATATACTTAAAATGTTGTTCTGGTCAGTACATTTATTAGTTAAATTGTAGAAGTTTTTATATTTAAGAGAGTAAACAGGAAGTTTAAAAGCTTTAAAACATGAAACTTCATTTAGAGAGGTGAATGTATTTTACAATGAAAGTCATGAAAGGTTAATAAACTTTAGATATTTCTTAACACTTACAAGTGCTATGAGACATATTTATTAAAGGTGTCTATTACATTTCATTGGCTTTGATTTTAAGGTGATGCAACAACAACAATCTGTCATCGTTATACACCACCAGAACAGCTGAAAGTCTTCACTCAAACTGCTGATATCATTGTAGCAGCAACAGGTTTGCCAGGCTTGATTACTGCTGACATGATCAAAGAGGGCTGTGCCATCATTGATGTTGGCATTAATCGTGTTAAAGATGAAAAAACTGGAAAGATGAAGCTTGTTGGTGATGTAGATTTTGAAGGTATTTTTGATATTTTCATTTGAAGAATCTCTGCTTATTAAAATTTGCATTTCTGGATATTTGCTGGTTTGTGCCCAAAATTTTGTCAAATTGACAAACTGTAGTGTTTGAGTTAAAAAACTTTTTACATATTAGGTAATGTATATGATTTGTCATTGATTTCCTTTACAATTATACCTGTATGCTGTTTATTTACTGTAGAAAGCTTATGTCCCTCTTACTTCACAATAGGCAAACTTTCTGTCCACTCTTGGATTTATTGCACTTCTAAAATGCTATGGTAGAAGAGCAACAAATTATCAATCTATTTCAAACCTTACCTTAAAAATATGCTATGCATTTGCTAGTACACTGCACTCATAGTAGCTTTCAATATACAGTTTTTACAATCTATAAAAAATTCAAAATAATCATGCAAAAAAATTTAATTTTCTCCATTAACTGCTTGCTTTATATAATTGATATAAACAACAGGATATACCATGATGCAAATACACAAATTAAAATATAGCAAGTAAGGCTATTTTTCTTTTACCATTAAATGATTATGTATATAGGTGTCAGTAAGAAAGCTGGGTATATTACACCTGTTCCTGGTGGCGTGGGACCAATGACCGTTGCTATGCTGATGAAGAATACACTACAAGCATACAAGAAGGAGGTTAATTTTGACCACTACAAGTCTTCACTGGGAATTTCTTGATGTTAATGAAAGCTTAGCTACAACACTTGCGCCAAATTACAGGTATGTAGAAAGTGCCAGAATAAGCTAGAAAGAACAGCCTACATAAGTGATCAGTCTTGCCTTTGTTTACATTTTTCTTCAAACATTATGGCTGATAAAACTGGGTGACTGTCTATGAATCTTATGTTTATCAATGTAGGAAAACCTTAGACAAACTGTTCTTTTGATATCTGGCTGTTTTGAAGGGTATTTGTGATACTTTTGCCAAGTATTTGAGATGATGTGTATAACCTGTGTATTGAATTGGCACTACTTTGGATGATATACATGTATGTTTCGGACAAATTTGTATTCGCACTGTAGTTTTTATTATGCCCCAAAGGGAGGCATAATATAATGGCACGTACAATCCCAGAGGTACTTGTGTGACTTGGAGAACAATGGGTAACAGTAAATTCTCTTTGATCCTATTCTTTCCTTTTTACTTGTGTGTCTTTTTTATGCCACCGCAGCATCTGCGATGCGTTGGCATATAGCGATTCACCTGTGTGTGTTTGTATGTATGTATGTTTGTGTGTTCTATAGATTATATAGTGAACTTAAAAAATCTTCTTGTGAAAAACCACTAGTTCAATTTCAACCAAACTTGGCAGGATTGATCCTTGGGTGAAGGGCTTCCAAAGTTGTGCAAAAAATTTCATTCCATGCAAAAATCTGGTTGCCATGGCAACCAAAAGGAATTTTAAGAATAAATTTAAAAAATCTTCTTGTAAAGACCCACAAGGCCTGAAGCAAAGATATTTTGCATAAGGCATTGTCTGGTAGACCTCTACCGAGATTGTTCAAATTATAGCCCTGGGGTCAAAATTGGCCCTGCCTCGGGGTCTTTGTATTTTACTATATGTACATATAGTAAAAAAATAAAAAATCTTATTGTCTGAAGGTACAAGGCTTAGAGCTTTGATATTTAGTATATGATATCATCTATGGGTACTCTACCAAAAATGTTCAAATTTTGCCTCAAGTGTCAAAACTAGCCCCGCCCAGGGGGCCATAGGTTTTCCTTATATTTTTATATAGTAAAAACTTTAAAAAATCATCTTCTCTAAATTGACAAATGCTAGAGGTTAGACATTTTGCATGAAACATTGTGTAGTGAACCTCTAGCATGGTTGTTCAAATTGTAGCCCTGGGGTTAAAATTGGCCCCGCCGTGGGGTCGTTTATTTTCAGTCACTATGTACATATAGTAAAAAAATAAAAATCTTATTGTCTGAAGGTACAAGGCTTAGAACTTTGATGTTTGCTTTATAATGTCAGCCATAGGTCCTCTTACCAGAGTTGTTCAAATTTTGCCCTTGATGTCAAAATTTGACTTGCCTGGGGGCATTGATTTTAATTATGTACACATATTAAAAACAGAAACTAAAACAAATGTTTTCTGAATTGGAGAAAGCTACAGCTTAGATATTTGACAAGACATGTTGTTTGGTGGACCTGTATCAAGATTGTTTGAATTAACATTTTCCATCATGAAGACGTGTTTTGACGGCTATTTGTCCCCACCCCCCCCTTTTTTTGAGGCCTCAAACAGTAAAAAAATGCCCTAATTAGGCCCCAAGCACTGTTTTTCATTTGAGAAATGTTTTCAAAAAAAGTGACTATTTTTCGGCACCGCCCCCCATCCAAATGTTACATCAGGGGGTTGCCAGAAGGGGGATGTGCCCCCTTCTGTTTGGGGGGGTTTGAAGGGGAGTGGTTGTCCCCTCATCACAAAGAAAATTTTGGACATGTGACAGGCTAAAAATGGCCTCAGCTCAATCTTAGGGTAACTAGTAACCGATGCTGAAAAGCCTTTTACTCTATCTCAATTCATTGAGAAGTTGCAGCACTTTGAAATCAGTTTTGATGGAAAAAACAATGCAAAATAGTGATTTTTGGCAATTTTGAGACGTCCCCCCATTGCCATGGTAACAGGAAATTTAAGATTGAGCATGCTGTTACAGGGGCTATGGTCTAGTCAACATTTGTGCCAAGTTTTATCAGTATTGAAGCATTTTTCATAGTTTCATAGCAGTTTGAACTTGTTACAGGAGGCTATTCAATGAAAACGGCCATTTTTTCGCGATATGCTCATGGGCTAAAATGTTAAACCCTTGGGTCAAAATTTTGCCTTGCCCAAGGGGACAGTGACCTGACCTTTCTTGTCCTTTGATGTACAGCCATAAAATTTGGACTATGTGCACAGTTTTAGTTGTAAAATTGAACTTTGATATCAGGTGACCTAGATTTCGATGATGTGACCTATATGTACTTTCTTGTCCTTGATGTGCAGCTATGAAACTTGAACCATGTGCACAGATTAAGATGTAAAGTGAACTTTGATATCAGCTGGCCTAGATTTTGACAAAGTGTCTTACTGTGTTGTCCTTTGATGTACAGTCATGGAATTTTGGCCATGTGAAAATGACCTTCACCACCCAATTCACTAGACTCAACTGCATTGATAGATTCCTATTCTGATCTTTTATTTGAATAACAATAGATTTAACCACTAATCTGATAAGAATTAGATAGGTCAGTGATATATGCATTATGGCAATCTTCAATTGTATGACTTCCAGGATATGTAGTTGTAAGTAAGTAGGCTTTGACATCTAGAGTATTTTGAAGCTTTATTTCAATGGCAATCTGTTATAACACCTATATTCTAATCCTAAGTATGTGTTTCTTATATGAAAAGTTTGGAAGAAAAAAAAGTTATTAAAAAAAAAACATTATCCTTTCAAAGAATTCAATAAACAATATTTGTAGTGTAATATTTGTAAATACAAATACTTGAAAATTCCCTGAAAAGAATTTACATGCAAATATGAGGCATAACAACATAGAAACAAAAGAATTCTGTTCCTACATTACTATTTATTGTTGTACATGTATTAATGCGGTGGCATAGCATTTTTCACAAATGCAATCTTTTTTAAGCTTTGTGTGACTAAAAAGATCAAAGAAAAGGTCACATAAGTACCATTTTGTGAGTACATCCGTCTGTCCCACTTCATTCATGTCCGGATTGTAACTTTGTCATACATAGAGGGATTTTGAAATTACTAGGCACATCAAGATGATATGTCACGTCCAAGAACCACATCCCTACCTCAAAGGTCAAGGTCACTCTATCATTTTGAAGTTTCACATAATCGCAATTAGAGTAAATAGGTACACACATTTGTGTCCAGACTGTAACTTTGTCATGCATCAAATGATTTTAAAATAACTAGGCATAAATGTCTACCACATCAAGACGATGTGTCGCGTTCAATAATCACGTCCTTACCTCAAAGGTCAAGGTCACACAACCATTTTGAAGTTCACTTTATCACAATTAGAGTTTATAGGTACACACATTCTTGTCCGGGCTGTAACTTTGTCGTGCATCAAAGGATTTTAAAATAACTAGGCATAAATGTCTACCATATCAAGACGACATGTCGTGACAAAGACCCATGTCCCTACCTTCAAGGTCAAGGTCACACTTATTGTTTGATGGTACTCATTCTCTTGAGGAGTTTAAAGATACACATTCATGTCCAGACTGTAATTTTGTCATGCATTGAGGGATTTTGAAATAATTTGTTTCAAATGTCTATCTCATAACAACATTTTCTCGGGTCCAGGAACAACGTCCCTTCTTCAAAGGTCAAGGTCACACTTATATTTTGAAGGTTCACTCTATCACAATTAGAGATTACAGGAACAATAATACAAAGAACAATATTCAGCAATTAGTTACTTTCATTCTCTTTTCTTTTCATAATACCTGCATGCTTAAGAAACCTTTTCGGGGGCATTCGCTCTTGTTTCATTTAAATTTGTGATGATTTTTGATTTTGAAATGTTTATTCATCATGAATGGAGGATTTGCATTACATAAGTACCAGTTACATGTAAAGGTTATAGATCAAGATCAAAGATTTGAGCCATTTATCACTTGTCGTGTGTTGAATTGAAATCATGAAATTGAAGTTTCCAAACAAAATGTTTTCAAAAAAAGCTGATTTAAAATATCATTATATCTTCTAGAAATTTGCTTTCAGTGTGATTTGAATTTATTTAAATGCTAATATTCAATACGACTTAAAATGTTTTAGTTTAAAAATAAATAGCTCCTTTTTTGTGAAAATTTTAAATTGTAACATTGTTCAAAACTTCTATCTGTTTTCCCTGCATGAAAGTAATAAATAATTAAATGAATTATCACTCTCTTATGCAAGTGGTTAAGATTGTTGACTTTAAACTACTTGTCTCTCACCATTGTAGGTACAAGGCCCACAAGTGTATTCGGATTCTACATGTGAAAAAGCTATCCAGCAAACTTATAGAACATTGGTGGTTTTACTCAGGTGCCTGTTTGTGCTGAAATAATGTGCAGAGGGGCACCTGAGGTATTCCTCGACCAGTAAAGCTGGAAAGTCGTCTAATGACTTATACTATGACTTATACTTTAAAGGCCAACAAAAAAAAAAGAAATTAAAAAACAAAACAAAAAAAAACTCTCTTGCTAGAGATAAGTGTTTACATTTGCATACCTAAAAATAGAATTTGCGCTTGTCAATCCGCATGACTGAATACGGAGATAGGGGGACTGTCTAACTGTAAACATAACAAAAGAGTACATTCCATAACAGTAGAGTAAGGGGCCATTGGCCGTCAGGGCATCTGTTCCAAAATGTTGTGTAAAAGTATTTGAGCTAGAGTCAACAAACTCTACAGGATGTTGATCAGCATGTGAAGTGGTGCACCTGGGTTTTTAGATGTGGATTAATTCAGTTTTGTTGGTGCCTTTAATTTAGTAAAAATTTGCAATTTGTGTCACACATAGCTTAAAAGATTCATGATACTTAACAGGCATGTTGTTCAGCATGTGTAGTTATGCACCTGGTGGTATGCCTGTTGATTTATTCAATATTTATAGAGTAATTTCCCTTGACTTAGTAAAAAGCAATTTTCAACTTGTGTTGCGTGTAGCCGAAAAAGTATTTAACCTAGAGTCATGAAAGTTTATATGAATGTTGTTCAATGTGTGTAGTTGTGCACCTGGGGTTTTGCTTGTGGATTTTCAGTATTTGTGGAGGTATCGTCCTTTACTTAGTTGAAAAACTTGCAGGTTGCAATTTGTCATATGTTACTCAAAAAGTATTTGACTGAGAGTCATGAAACTTCTGCAGGAATGTTGGTTAAGATGTGTAGTTGTGCATCTGGGGTTTTGCTTGTTTAAGCATACCTTAGGATGTAAGTTTGAGATTTGAAATTTTTGCAGCTCAATATTTGGAAAAATCAAGATGTCAGCAGAAAATATTAGATGCAATTTTATGCCCAAACCACTAAGACATAGGAGGAGTCGTGTAGTATTTCCTTTGTCTGTCTTTCTGTCTGTCTGTCAGTTCTGATATACGTCAGTAGACTGACAAAACAGTAAAATGTGGGGGCATCTGTGTCTTATGGACACATTTCTAGTTTAAAATTGAATACATTATTTTGCTTAATGTAGAACTTTGTGCCGAACGTTATGCAGCAAGTAGAATCTCATGCTTTCATTATAAAATTGAAGGTCATCAAAGAAGTAAGTAACTTTAAACTGAACCTGAAGAAAACATTTAATAAATAATAAATTAGTATTTGTTATATATTTTTGTACGAGAACTATCTTTTTACAATAATCCTCTTTGTATTTCAGTTCTTCATTCATCATGAGAGATTGTTAATGGATGCTAACAGAAATGTGTACTTAGAAGTGGTGTATGTTTTGGTTTTTTTTGCTATGAAGTTCAAGGTGTGCTCTTCTATCTGATGCTATTGCCGAGTTATTTTGAAATTTTTGTTATGTTCTAATATTTTTAAGACTGTGTTTTGAACAAATATTTATTTCTTTTATTTTACAATGATAAGATTATTACTAGCTCAGCTGAGCACAGAGTGATATGAGCTTTGTGGTTGCTGTTGTGCTCTGCAACATACTGTCAGTCTTTATGAATATTACCTTTAGATTAAAGAAACTGTATCACAATTGGTAGAAATTGATAAACTTCTTGGAAATGATCCTTCAGTTCCTCTTCAGAAATTAAACAGATAGTTCCAGTATAATATTCAGATTGGTCACTGACCTGACATCAGAAACTATAAAGCTTAGATATTTAGCATATCACATTACCAAGAGGCTAGTAATCTAATACAAAATGTTTTTTAATCTTGTCTATAGGGTAAAATATGCTCATTGTTACATAAAGTTTGTTTTCTTGGGTTAGTGATACACTCCCACTTTGACTTTCTCTTTAGTAATGTTATTATCAGGAAGTGAAGTATCAACAAAAAGTTGTGGTGTTGTTTTTATGCCGCTGCAGCATTTGCGATGCGGTCATATAGCGATTCACCTGTGCGTGTGTTTTGTATGTTCTATTGATTATAAAGAGGACTTAAAAATCTTCTCCTGAAAAACTGTATGTCCAAATTCAACCAAACTTGGCAGGATTGTTCCTTGGGGGAAGGACTTCCAAAGTTGTTCAAAGAAAATGATTTCATGCAGCAACCAAAAGAAATTAGAAGAAAAAAAAATCTTCTTCTAAAGACCCCAAAGCCTAGAGCTTAGATATTTTGCATAAGACATTGTATATTGGACCTCTACCAAGATTGTTCAAATTAGTAAAAACTTTAAAAATCTCTTGTTTGAATGTACAAGGCTTAGAGCTTTGATATTTGGTATATAAAATCATCTATAGGTCCTCTACTAAAAAATTTCAAATTTTTTCCCCAAGTGTCAAAATTGGCACTGCCCCTGGGGGTCATAGGTTTTCCTTATATGTGTTTCGTAAAAGCTTACATTGTCTTCATCTCTAAATTGACAAAGGCTAGATGTTAGATATTTGGCATGAAGCATTGTGTTGTAGACCTATACCAAGATTGTTCAAAGTATAGCACTTGGATCAAAAATGGCACTGGGTGTCTTTGATTTTTATTATGCACAAATAGTAAAAACTTTAAAAAATGTTCTTGTCTGAAGGGAAACAACTTATATTGAAATGTCTTTTATACAAAAGATTTTATAGTTGGAAGTAAGTCTAAAGATGACCTCGAACAAGAGAAATGTTTGCTTTTCAGAGATATTTATGAAATGATTAGAGGTCATGAACTCTAGAAAGAGAGATGTGAGCTTTGCAGGGATATTTAATGAAACAGTTTGCGCACATTATAAGGACATATAATTCACACCATGTGTAATGATGATTACAAATCCTTTTAGAAATTGGTAATGCTTCAATGAAAAGATAGTATTTAAGAAAAAGTAACTGTTCCTACAAAGCTATGTAATACTGTAAATACCTAATTTTTTGTCAAGTAAATTTTCTTTTATTTTTAGCTCGACTATTCGCTAAGAATAAGTAGAGCTATTGTAGTCACCCGAGCGTCCGCGTCGGCGTAACCACTTATGTTAAAGTTTTTGTAATACCTCAAATATTTTCAAAGTCCATTGACATGTGGCTTTGAAACTTTGCACACTTGTTCACCATCATGACCCCAACCTGTAGACAGGAGGAGGTAACTGTATCAAGCATTTTAACAGAATTATGCCCCTTTTTCAACTTAGAATTTACGTTAAAGTTTTTGTAATACCTCAAATATTTTCAAAGTCCATTGACATATGGCTTTGAAACTTTGTTCACCATCATGACCCCAACCTGTAGACAGGAGGAGGTAACTGTATCACACACTTTGACAGAATTATGCCCCTTTTTCGACTTTGAATTTATGTTAAAGTTATTGTAATACCTCAAATATTTTCAAAGTCCATTGACATATTGCTTTGAAACTTTGCACACTTGTTTATGCCCCTTTTTCAACTATGAATTTACATTTAGGTTTGCATTCCATCTCAGATATTTTCATATTCTGTTGAAACTAGTTGAAATTTTATACTCTTCTTTAAGAAGATAATAGGACTCTCTCCAAGGCCTGTAAGACTCTCTCCAAGGCCTATAACTGTAACATGGATTTAAAGATATTTTTTGTCCTTTTATTATTAACTCAGAAAATTTTACATTATCAAGGCTCTTTTACTATCAAGCACTAAGAATAGTCGAGCATAGCTGTCCTTCTGACAGCTCTTGTTAAATCAATTATAGCACTATGGCCTTTGTATCTTAACATTAGACACATCTGATGTGCGCAATGTCTTTCATTTGACATGCTGAAATATGACCTTGACCCCCCAAATTCACTAGACACTATAGCATTATGGCAAAATGTACAAAATCCACTGCTGTTATATTAATGCGATGGCATAGCATTTTTTCACAATTGCAATCTTGTTTCTTTTTTATTATTTTATTTTAATGTTACATTATTATGCTTGTTTTTTGTTTTTATCTGCCTGTATTATATTGAATTATTGTTTTGCCTCTGACGGCGGGCGGCGTCCAATTTTGTCCGGAGCATATCTCCTACACACATGGAGGGATTCTAATGAAACTTCATAGAAATGTTCACAATTATGAGAAGCTGTGTCACGCGCATAAAACAAGTCTCTATGTCAAAGGTCAAGGTCACACTTAGGGTCATTGATATATGCTTGTCTGGAGCAAAACTTGCACATGCATAGAGGGATTTCAATATAACTAGCACAAATGTTGAGCATTGTGAGGCGGAGTGTCGCATGCAAAATTTAGGTCCCTAAAACTTCATAGAAATGTTCACCACTTTGAGAAGCAGTGTCACATGCATGAATTGGGTCTCTAGGTCAAAGGTCAAAGGTGACACTTAGAGGTCATTGTAAAATGCTTGTTAGGAGCAAAACTTCTACATTCATCAGGGGATTTTAATGTAAGTTGACACAAATGTTCACCATTGTGAGGTTAAGTATTGCACGCATTATCCAGGTCCCTGCTACCAAAGTCAAGGTCACATAGAGAGATCAAAGTTAAGATAAAACAGAAGATGTGTACAGGGACCTGACCATTTAGTCATCATTATCAATGAATTGTAGCACAAATTATAACAATCATGGCTACAAGTGTGACACATGTAATTTAGGTTAATATTTGCAAGGTCAAGGTCGCTAGAGATGATAAAATATCAAAATATTGTCCTGATATTGCCCAGAGCATATCTCCTATATGCATTTCTATAATGCCACATCTCTGTCAATAGCTTTTGTGATGGGAGTATTTTGCAACACTGTTACCCTTGTTTTGTTGTTTTTTAAGGTTTTTTGTATTTTAGTTAAGATCGGATATGTAGAACAGAAATATAGAAGAGGTACTAAAGAATGAAAAAAAACAACAACAACACAACATTTGTATGGTACTTGAATTGCTTTATCATCACAAAACAAGAAAAGTGATATTTTCAGTGTTTTTTTTTATCTAAGTGAAATGTCATTATGTCAGCAACAAAAATACACAAGATAACAACATATTTTAAGTACATTTTTTTTCTGTTTTTTTATATGCTGCTTGTTATTTTATTAAGAAATATTTTAAAATATATTTGTAACTGTCTTCTTTTGATAGAAATGATTTTTGTGGAATGTATTGTTAATGATGTTTGTTACAAATACTTTTTGTGTTGTCTTATTAAACATAATATTAATTTGATATACATAATTATACAAATATGTAATAGTAAGAAATGCATACTTTGATAACGAGATTGGGTTTTTCTATTCAAGCTTCTTGGTGTTAAATCCTTACCATGCTCAATATCATAAATGGACTCTGGATTAAATTTCTCATTATCTTTAGGGATAATTTCAAATTTCAGACTAGATAATTGACAATGCAGGCCGTGATCAAATGCCACAGTGTGCTGGCTAAACTTGGACTGCACTGGTTGCATGGGAATAATCTGTTGCAGCCAGCAGAATAAGGGGTAAAAGTTCAATTTTTTTTATACACTGAAAGAGTTTCAGCAGAACTCTTGATGTCTAGTGTGAATAAGCTACTTTTATGAATGAAGTGAACCAGTTTTTATGTATTTAGGTTTTGATAAAGAATATTATTATGCCCCCCTTCAAAGAAGAGGGGGTATGTTGTTTTGCTAATGTCGTTCTGTCTGTCTGTCCGTCGGTAGACCTCATGGTTTCCGATAATTATCTTAAAAACTATTTATCACAAAGTCTTTATATTTCACATACTGATTGTTCATAACTAGTAGATGGTTTTTCAGTAAGTTATTCAGAAAAAAAGCATGCATTCTGTGAATGTGTTTGCAAGTTTAATCTATAGGTTAATATGACCTACTACCATTCTGTGTGAGATGTGAAAATTGACAGTATAGTTACTGTGAAGCTGACAAAATTTTATTAGAACAAACAAAAGAAATTGTGGAATACATAGTAAATGATTTAGATGTGATAACAGTGGAAAATATGTGTTAAGCATTCCACCTGGAAAGTCCTATATTGCTTCAATTAAAGTTCACTCACAGTAGTTCTATGTAAGAAAAAAGTAGTTAAAAAATATACACAAATGTATGACAGCTTATTTGATAATCCTTATAAAACTGAAAAAAGTTTTATATGTAATGTTTATTTAATCAACTGCTTATGTTGTAAATCGCTAAATCATGAATAGTCCGCTAAACTTTTGGCTATTATTTGTTTAAGTTAAAAATATTGGCTATTATTTTATTGGAGCCAATGTGAGCCCTGAGTCATAATTTTTCTGTTTCCATAACTGAGCACTTCCACGTACCCATTTATGGCATGTTTCTACTATATTAACAAAATTACCAATTATAGGAGTCAAGGGCTAGAAAGGGAGGCATATGTGTCATTCGACATTTCTTGTTTAAAATCTATTTGATACTTATGTTACTTACAGACTACATATAGATACAGCATTGAAAATGTCAGCATTATAGATTTTACTGCTTTGTTTTTAATATGTGATTAGAGATTTTTTATTAGAACAATTTATTTGGTTTTACTTGATTAGATATTGTAAAAAGAAAGACATGCTCATAACATGTATTGATTGTCAGAAAATCATTCAGGACTTTACTTTTGTTTTATTGTTAAAATATTTCCATTATAAAGGTTTGTTGGTAAAAAGTCTTAGTGTATGTGTTATAAAAATAATGATTAAATATATGTACTTTCATAGTTACTCAGAATTGGGGTAAACGGAAAAAGGGATCGAGTAAGCGTACACTTTGCATATTTAGCCCCGCCTATAAATAAAAGCACGAATTTCTTATAATAGCTGTTATCACATGACTAAATAAGACTAAATTTAATAGACTT